ATATATATACACATATATATATATATATATACATATATATATACATATATATATATACATATATACACATATACATATACACAAAGTATGAATTATATTCACATTAAGTATAAAACATGCTACCTGCATCTCGTGAACCAAATGTTATTGACCTTTTGTTCATATAGCAGTACTTTTAAAATAAAAGTGCGCAATACACTACTTTTGAATTCATTATTGAACGTTGCCATAACAATGCGATTAATCGCAAAAAATCCATGCGATTAAATATTTTAATCGTTGCCCAGCACACACACACACATTTTGCAGTTTTGAATGCCATATGCTCATTTTGTTAGATTTGTGACCATTTTAAGGTGAAATGTACACTTTCTGCGTCCAATACTTGATAAAACTCACTTTAGTTTGAGTAAATAACTAATACTATTATATACTTGTAATATAAAAAATACTTGGTCAAATTTAACCCAGTGATTTCAAACCATGTTTGTGCAAATGACTGTCATTTTACACATCTCTTAATTATCTTCAACTGAAGAAAATAATTTAAATGTAATTTCTTTAAGTTTAAGTTCACATAAACAACCAAATATTGACAAATAATAACATAAATCAGTGACATATATTTGTTTAGTTTCTATTAATCCCATTTGAGGGCCAGTGACACAAGACACAAAAAGAAAAACAAAGTAACTTGCAAAACCAATAAATAACATTAAACAAAAGTTAAACAACTAAATATTAAATACAGCATCCATAACTTTGTCCCAATCTGTATCTCTGTTTTTTCAACAAATACATAATATATATTGTAATGCTAAACTGAAGACTACACTTCTAAATTTTGCTATTGTGGATACTGAAGGTTGTTTAGACTTCATGCGTGTCCAGCTGATGAAGCAGCTCAGGAAGAACTATTGTATAAATAATGGCGACAATAAAATCACATAAATACACTCACACAAAGGTTTGGATGCTTCTGTTGAAAACCACGTTGAAGTAAATGCATTCAGTTGCTCTGGATAACAACATTGACACAGATCGACAATGACACAGGTTTGATTCTTTACAACACAGTTTTAGAGGTTAATAGGGCCAAATGTTAAAACTTCAGGGAGAAAAATCCAGTTTAAAATCAAATTACAGACCAAACATCTCTGCCTGTTCTGCAGGAAACTATAGTATCCAGCTATGAATGAAGGAAGACACACTTCATAATAATAGTCGTCAAATCAGAGGATTGGCGGTTCGATCCCTGGCTCTGCTAGTCGCATGTCGACGTGTCCTTGAGCAAGACACTTAACCCCAAAATGTCTCCCGTAGCTGTGCCTACAGTGTAGAATGTGATAGAATCTGGATTGTAAGTCGCTTTAGATAAGAGCGTCTGCTAAATGACTGTAATGTAATGTAACCAGTGGCCATTTGGAATTCATTTGAATGCTTAACTGACCATCAATAACTGATCTATGAATGTAAAAAACAAGCAGTCAAATCTTTGATGTTCCGGTATGTCGACTTATTTTGAAAGTCCCTGCTTGGATACACCATGAAAGTCCCTCAACATTATCATAGATCAGTTCCTTTACCCGACACAGCAACAACAACACGTGTCACTCACTACCCGATCTCTACATCCTGCCTGATCGCTACATGTGCAACTCTCACCACAGATGAGAGAAGCAAGATGGCTGACTCCTTAACTTCTGTCATCAGCTCCAGAAAAATAAAAAAAAGATTGCTGCGTACAAAATCAATGTTGGATGTTGCTAACGAGTGAGCCATCTTGCTTCTTTCTCATCAATCTTGAGAGTTGCACATGCGCAGTACAGATCGGGCAGGTGCTAGCGGAGAGTGTAACATTAGCCAGAAGCGAGCAAAATGTCAGCAATCTTGCTATAATTTTACTGGAAAATAACTCGATAATAAATAAAGTCCTATTCATTCATTCTCTGTATGTTTTACAAAGGGTTCAACCTGAGCCAGGCCATTCACCATATCACATTCATAAAGGGTTAATAGTATACAGATGTTATAAAAAAAAAACAATAACAGATATTATTGTTTTTAAACACACTGTTATTGGATCAGTATTTGGTATCGGCCAATACGCAAGTTCAGGTATCAGAATCAGTATCAGGAAGAAAAGAAAGTTATCGGAACATCTCTACTTTTTAGCCTCCATTCTGAAATGCCTCCGAGGTTAACTCAGCAAATGTTTATAATTTATACTGTGTGAGGAAATAAACTAGGACCAGAAGGACTAAAAACATAACTGTGCCAGTTACAGAAATTAGGAAACACATAAACCATATTAATACAAGTTTAATAATAACATTACTCACTGGATCTACTCCAACGCTACAGTATTTGTTTGGTATTTCTTATTTTCGAACTCCATTCACTATATTACACATGTAACTCCACACCAGTGCCACATCAGTCTGTTCCCATACAACACAACTACATTGTCAATAATAATATTGTACGTATTTGTTTCTGATGCATCACAAATTGTATCTTCTCCTTTATTTCAAATCATAGTCTGCGGATTCCACTATTCGTGTTCTGTGTGAAACTAAAATTCAACATTCTCATATTTTAAATTACGTCACTGACCTCAGTAATGTTCCAAACTGACTTATTATAACCAAACCATGATGTTTTACTAAACTTAACCAATTGGTTTTGTTGCATTTCTGTTTTGTTTCAAATTCAAACACGTCATTAAAACTGCGACTGTAATCTACCGGAAATACGTTTTCCATGAAACATAACTGAGAATGCAGTTTAGCTGTATGGGAATGTCATTTTGAAGGAGTCAGGGTTGGCCACAAATGCCTGACAGGAGATTTGTGACCCAACTGCAAAATCCCTATGTGCACTGCACTCGACATAACATCTTTCAGTTCCTGTATTCTAAATAGGAGTTGTTGTTACCCCGTTAGTATGAAATACAACTTTTCTAGAAAGTGAGAAAGATAGAGAAGCAGGCTTGTCTGACCGTAAAGTCTTTTGTCCGATTCCCAGCAATGGCAGGATCAATCCAAGTGGGAAAGTGACAGAATTGAACCTGTAACCCCAGGTGCTCCAGTGGAGCTGCTCAGTGACCAACAGGTCAGACTGTGGTTGTACCAGGCAGCCTCAGCTGTGAATGTGTGGGCAGAACCTTCCTGAGAAAGAGAGCAAGGCTCTCAGTAAAACATTTCTGCTCAAATAAAGGTCAAGTTTAGCAGCCAGCTTTGAAGAATAATGTCAGCCAGAGAAAAAATGGAAATTAATGTGTTTTTACACTGGGGTCATTAAGAGAAAAATGCTTCATTTTTCGCAGGTGAACTTTGTTTTATTAGCAGATCAAACCACAGCTAAAAGTAGGACTATCTCAAACTAACTCGACACAAGCGAGAGCCTAAACAAAGAGCATGTGGATTTGATCCATGCACCTTTCTGTTCATTCTTTGTAATCTACTATATCATGTAAATCACCTTACAGAAGCATGCTCACAAAGTTCAGCTGACTCTTTGCAGTGTGGTGACACGCCAAACCTCTTCATCACGAACCGTTAACTTCCTGGGTTTGAACTGTAGTCAGTCTGAGTCAGCTAGTTGCTGTCCAATGATCCCGACATCGACAGGCGCCGCTGGCTCCCACGCGGCTCCGATGCTGCTTCTGTATTGGGTTGAGCAGATGAGAGCAGCGGGCCCCGTTCTGATTGGTTGATTCCACTCTGGAGGAGAAGCTCTGACTGACTGATGGTGGGACGACAGGGACTGTCTTCTGGCTGAAGCAGTTGTCTGTTAACCGATGGGCGTCTGGAGGACTGGACCTTATAATCTGAGACCAAATCCTGCCATGGAGAGACATACCGTTACTTTTGGAGTCTACAGAAGCTGTTTCATGTGGGTTTGATTTGAATTACATTACACATTACAGTCATTTAGCAGACGCTTTTATCCAAAGCGACTTACAATAAGTGTATTCAACATCGGTATTCAAGAGAACTACTGGTCACCAGAAGTCATAAGTGCATCTCCTTCTTTAAACAAGCATCTAAGAGCATAAACCAGAGCAAAAGTACCGTGCAGAAACAAACTAGTATGAATACAATAAGTGCTAAGTGGAAGGCTCAGGGTAGTACTTCTTGAAGAGGTGAGTTTTCAGCCTGATGAAAGATGGGCAGTGACTCTGCTGTCCTGACGTCAGTGGGAAGTTCATTCCACCACTGTGGGGCCAGGACAGAAAACAGTCGTGACCGGATCGATCGGCCGCAGGGACCTCTGAGCGACAGGGCAACCGATCGCCCCGAGGCAGCAGAGCGAAGTGGCCGGGCGGGGGTGTAGGGCTTGTCCGTGGCCTGGAGATAGGAAGGAGCTGTTCCTTTCACTCCCCTGTAGGCTAACACCAGAGTCTTAAACTGGATGCGAGCTCTTACAGGGAGCCAGTGTAGAGAACGGAAGTTGTGTGGGAGAACTTGGGGCGATTGAACACCAGGCGAGCTGCAGCTTTCTGGACAAGCTCCAGAGGTCTGATGGCTGACGCCGGGGCTCCGGCAAGTAGAGAGTTGCAGTAGTCCAGGCGGGAGATGACAAGAGCCTGGATGAGCACCTGCGCCGTCTCGTCAGTGAGGAAGGGGCGAATCCTCCTGATGTTGTAGAGCAGGAATCTGCAGGAGCGTGTAACCGATGCAATGTTTGCTGAGAATGACAGTTGGTCATCCAGGGTCACACCCAGGTTCCTCGCAGTCCGAGTTGGCGTCACCACAGTATCATCAATAGTGATGGACAGGTTTCGGTGGGGGCGACCCTTCCCCGGGAGGAACAGTAGCTCTGTTTTGTCCAGGTTGAGCTTGAGGTGGTGTGTCGTCATCCACTTGGAGATGTCAGCCAAGCACGCAGCGATGCATGCCTCCACTTGAGTGTCACCGGGGTTAAATGACAAGACCAGCTGGGTGTCATCGGCATAACAATGGTAAGAGAACTCATGCGAGCGAATAACAGAACCCAGAGATGTTGTGTAGAGCGAGAAGAGGGCCCAGGACTGAACCTTGTGGAACCCCCGTAGTCAGCATGCGTGGTTCCGACACGGCCCCCCTCCATGTCACCTGGTAGGATCGACCCGTCAGGTAGGATGCAAACAGGGAGAGTGCAGAGCCTGAGATGTCCATCCCCTCGAGGGTGGAGAGGAGGATCTGGTGGTTCACTGTGTCAAACGCGGCAGACAGGTCCAGGAGAATCAGGACAGAGGAGAGAGCAGTGGCGGCTGGCCAATAGAGGGCAATGGGGCATGGCCCCACCTTGAGCCACACCAAAAAATAAATAAATAAATAAATAAATTATAATAATCATAAATAATACAATTTGTCAATATTTGTGTTTTTGAACTATGGAATGTACCCAGTAATATGTGTAAAATATGATATCTGCGCAAAATATATGCTTTTCCTGCTCGTCCTCGCCGCCTGTGTGCTCGTCTGCTCGTGCTCTCCGCCTGTGTGCACGACATGTCTCAGAACGCGCAGCTAGGGGGGCCAAATCGTTTTGGCCCAAAAGAGGCGGGTCTATGAAGCAGTTTAGCCAATAGCTGATTAAAGATATAAATGAGTGACATACAATTTAGCCAGTCAGCGCCCTCAAATAGATTCAGTGTGGGGCCAAAACGATTTGGCCCAAAGCTGCGCGTTCTCATCAGGAGAAGTCTCTATAGACGAGCACTACTCCTCCAAGTTTCGTTTGAGAGGAGACCTTTGGCGGAGATTCTGCAGGCCAAAGAGCTGATCCCAGATCAGCCTGACCTCACAATCAGACAGCAGACTAGCGGGAAAGGGAAGCAGTTCATGCGAAGCTTCTCTAATGTACACCAGACAGGTTTGGCTAGCAAGATGACGTCATGCTAATAACGTATTTAGCTTTTTAAAACAACGGGGACAGATCCAGCACGGACAGTTAGGGAGTGAGGGATGAGGAGGTAAGGAAACATGAGAACACCAGGGCACATATGAGAACTCTGTCAAGCTACATATTAGTCAAAGTGAACATCTTTTCTTCTACATAGTTGTCCTCAGTCTCATCTGCTTAACTTGGTCATGGAGGCATCAACATTTAATAGAGATGGTAAATTAACAGTGAAAACTCATCATAGCTTAATTTAACATCAGTATTCATAATTATACTTCATGTTTACTTCTCCTGATCTTTACCTCCTATAACAAGGTCCATAGGGGCATCTCAATAAATAAGATAGATAGATAGATATATATTTTGCTTGTGAGGGTGACAAAAATAAGATGTCCTGACGTGTTTATATAAGTGTTATTTACTGCTTTTTTTCGTGTTGGAATAAATGTTAAATATTTAACTGCAAAGTAGTAATGTGTGTTTGATACCTTCATTTTTTTGCATTAAATCATACTGGGATGTTTGCTGAAATTGATAGGATGGCCCTACCTAGAACACTTTCCACCAGCCGCCACTGGGAGAGAGAGTTCGCTCTTGCGGTGTGAAGCAACTCTGTCACCGCAAGGAGGGCTGTCTCAGTTGAGTGACCCACTTGGAACCAAGAGGGCAATACACAACAGCAATGGTGAGCTTGACTGGATAAGTGACAGTAACGGCATGAAGTTCGTAAGAGGACGGGGAGAGCTGTGGAACAGAGACAAGAGAGTATTTCCATTTTGGGGAAATTACCACCACCTCGCCTCGCAGCTCTGGGAGTGTGAGAGACAGAGTACACATCTGACAGAGCTGCAGGTGTGGTGGTGTTTTCTGGTGTCATCCAGGTCTCAGTTAGAACAAGAAAGTTGAGGGAGAGCTAGGAAGCATAGCCTGAGATGAACTCAGCTTTCGGCACTGCCGACTGGCAATTCCAGAGCCCCCCTGCCACCACTCGCTCGCCATGAGCTGAGAGAGTAGGACAGATGAGGTTAGTGGGGTCAGGGCACCTGTTAGTGGCCCAATGTCTACGTGACCACCCGACAGAGGAACGGACAGAAATAGGATGCAAACACATGGTAGTCAATATAAACAGATTACTGACCCGCAAGTACATGCTCGAGAAGTCTTTGCTTGAAAAAGTCATCCTGTTGCCTTCGTTTGCCCTACGCTTGGAAACTGACGCTTCCAACCACCAGCAGTGGTTAAGGACAGCTACCTACTGATTGCTCATTGTCTGCCAGGAGTGCAAGCCACACCCCTGCCACTTAACAAGGCAATTGGCCAGGTGAAACTAAATCACACCTACCTTACACAAACAGAGACTGCAAAAAGTACTAACACTGAATCAGGCTAGGTACAGCTAATAAAAACTTGTAAAAGCTAGAACAATATACTTAGTCTATTCTAGGTGAGTCAAGTAGTTGAGTATCCCTCCAGAATTATGAACATAAGAGACATTTTTCTTTACTAAGCTATAAGAGGGACAAGGTAAGAAAAGGTACGTAACAAACATACTCAGATTATCACTTTCCTTTCAGCCTGTATCATCGGCATCTTTTATGATTTACTGAGTAATTGCTGTGTAACTTTAGTTCAAAATGCGCCTGCAAAAATGTCAGACACGTGATCAGAAATCTGGTTTAGGTGTTTACATCCCACTATAACCTGCTGTCTATTAACGGTTTCCACCACAGTATATTATTACAAACACATAAACTCCAAAACCCATAACCTCATAAACTCAAAATCATAACCAGAATAACATGTATGCATGTAATACCCATTCTACTCATTCCATTAGCTTTGCTTGCATTCAGGTGGTCTCTAGCTTTCCTTCCCCTTCATCTACAACATGTAACAACATGGTGGATAAGGCTTAATATCCTGAGAGACTTGTGCCATTTTATTAAAACAAACTTGGTCATCAGATCACTTTTGTTTCCTCTCGTCCCCGTACATTTCTAAAGCACTAAGATAGTATGTGATATTTTTCATTCAACATTTTCAGAATTTTACTATATATATTTAACAAAAAAAAAAAAAAATCAAGAAAATTGAGAATTCTGAGGAAAACAAGACTTCTGATAAGAAGTCAGAATTCTGAGACTGAATTGAACATCTCTTATACACTTTCCCATTCTCCTCTGAAAGTTAAGAGACCGTGCTACTAAAAGGTGTACCGTACCTGTGAGACAGAGGCGGAGCTCTGGTTCCTAACAGGAAGGACTGGTTGATCAAGCCTCTCTGGCCACTGAGGATTCAGGGTGCTGAGGGGTGAGGGTCGGGACAACGAATGAGACACACACTGACTTCCTGTCTGAGGAAAGACAGAGGAGGAAGACTGGATAGAAGTTTGGGGTCGGGGTGGGGAGGTGAAGGTGTCCTGGGGGAAGTTGGGGGAAGACAACAATGACTGATATGAAATGTGAAGGGGTGAGGTGTGGATGAGACGGGGGAAGGCAGCAAGATGGAAGACAGAGGAACCGAAAACCAGAGAGTTAGATTCTGGTTCAAGTTGTTGATCGTTTTCATTGGACAGGTGCTGCTGGGGGGTGGTGGTCGGTGACTCGTCAGTGGGGGAGGAGAGGGCGTTGGATGTTGGTGTCAGGGTGCTGTAGGAAGGTGGGATCATTGGCATTTGCCTCTGCAGCAGCTGCATGATGGTCCCGATGTCTGCTGACATATGAGACTCCAATCTGGAAAACACACGCGCGCACACACACACACACACACACACACACACACACACACACACACACACACACACACACACAGATCCAAACAGAAAGAGCTACTTGTGTTACAGCGATACACTAGACTGTCAGTTCTAGAACCAGCAGGAATATTGCAGAGGAGCCTGAAGTCCACTCATTAAAGTACACAAAAACAACAAAAGTAAAAAGCATGTTTATAACACGAAGTAAGATGGTTTAAATAGTCTTCTGTATGAATATCATCATGGTATAATAATGCGGAGATCATAAAGGACTGGTCATCTTATTCTTTTGACATCCCTACTCTTCTTTTACAGTGATGGACTACTGCTCCAGTCGCTGCCCCCCTCCACTCAAAAAGCTTTGCATGTTACTTCACTTAGATGTCTGACCTTCACTGTGCAGAATGATGGAGGCATGTGTGCAGAGCTTGACACCAGCAGGCTGGGGAAAGTTTCTCTGGGCTTGAATCTCAGTTTAACACATGGATTTACAGTGTCAGCAGGATTTTGTGATGTCAATGTGGAGCCAATCATGATCCGGTAAGTGTGATGTGGAAATCTGAAGCCACCAGTGAACATACACTGAGCTTTGACTTGTCAGAGCGGACATTTTGGCTCTAGTTAAACAGACAATATTTTTATGTGGGGCGACCGTTGCTAAGTGGAGAGCAGGGTCGTCCTTCAATCAGGTGGTTCAATCCCCGGCTCCGCTAGTCGCATGTCGATGTGTCCTTGAGCAAGACACTTAACCCCAAACTGCTCCCGTAGCTGAGCCTACGGTGTGATAGAATCTGAATTGTAAGTCGCTTTGGATAAAAGCGTCTGCTAAATGACTGTAATGTAATGTAAATGTCTTTAAATGTTTTTTTTGTCAAAGAGAATAAAAGTATTTGGCTGGCTGTGTATTTGACCTGAAACCTGACGTACATGTACTGATGAAGACACTGACCAAGCCCTGCTGTGACCCACCTGGTTATCTGTCTCTGCAGTGCCTCCAGCCTCTTCTCTAACTCGACTTTCTTCCTCCGAGGGATGGCAGACGAAAGAGCAGAAGTGCTGGAGGGACAGTGGGAGGAGGAGCGCAGGTCAAAGAGGTCCAGGGAAGGAGGCTGAGGAGGAGGTGAGGGAAGGCTGTGAGAGCAGGGCACCTCCTGGTATCTCTGCTCCTCTCGACTCTCTGAGCCCCAGAAGGAGAAGATGTTGGACACTCATGAGGATGCATCTGGTCCACACATACAGACACAGTGTGACACACGCAGAGCCAGGTGGAGCTGTCACCGCTACACACAGACTTTTGTTTGTATCTCATGTGCCTTGAATGCATCTTTACACTTGCCTGTTAAAGGGTTACAGGTGTTCTCTCGCATATCAGTGTCGGGGCACCCCGTAGCGTTTGTGGCAGCAGCAGGACCGGCAGAGGTCTGAGCGGGGCGGGTCTCCTCTAAGTCCTCCCCTTCATCGTCACTGGAAAACACAGGGCCATATCTACAGACGCAATGAGTCTACTTTGCTTCTGTAATGAATGAATGTGTGCTTTACAGGAGGGAAACAAAATAGCAGGTCTTACGATGTATGTTTATGATCCTCTCTGGTGCTGCCTGCACGCTGCTCACAGCTGCTGTGTTGTGTTGTACATCCGACTCTCTCTCTCCCTGCTGAGATGTCACCTGACAGGGACACACAAACAGTCACTGTGAGTTTGTGTGATTTCCACTAATGTGATACCACATTTGTGTGAATGTAACTATTTGGTTTTATTCTTTATTCTTTATGCGACTAATCTGGTATTTTGACCAAGTCAGTGCACTCGCCGTGCTACTTTTTCGACGATAGGTGGCAGTGTGAGACTGAGGGACGTGTGATTTGGCTCTGGGCTTGTAGTGAGTAAGCTCATGCTCGTGGAAGAATTCAAGGCAAGCCACGTCTCCTTGTCTCATAACTGCTTTCCTGTATTTCAGGTAAGTAATGTGTCAAAACCTAACTTGCTGCTGTTTGTTAGATATTTCTGAGGAATGATCTTGTTTTAAGTGAGTGTAAGATGAAGAGGGAAAGGCTTGTTTGTTTCTTATACAAATGTAATATCCACCGTGAGTCATAGAAATAGTGGTGACACACTTGTGATACGAGCAATAAACTGTTAGCTTGGGTCACACAAGTGAAGTGTAAGAACTACTTCTGTCCTGTTAAGAACTGTGTTGGAGGAGTGTTTCAGGACAGCATTTTGTCAATATGTTTGTTTACTGGTACTGCTACCAGAATGTATATGTGTGCATCTATGATGCAATTATAGCCAAAATGTATAAGGAACGTTAAATGTAAAGATGAAAACTAGACACTGAGACAACATGTTTATTGTATGTAAACCTGTTTTATGAACATAGAAAATGTTTATAGTAAGACAGAAAATACTCAGTAAGGCTTCAATATTCCCTAATGTTGATGCCTGGAAAAAAGGTCAATGCATACGGTACACTGTGTGCTCTGTGAAGGAGTAACAGTGGAGCATCCAGCAATGATAAGCCACGTTTCCCTGCCTCATCATTTCTGTCAGGATAGCTAAATTCTGTCATGAGCTAAATGTGCAGTGATAATAATGATTAGAATAAGAGTATAAAGTAAGGATTAGAAAAAAATCAAACAGGATGAAATGTTTTTTTTAATTACAATTATGTTTCAAAAGTAGAGTGACAGAACAGAACACAGAGGTCTGTTAACTCATCCTTCCTTAAAGAAATGTCAGGTCAGAGGTACAGGGGGCCAATCACCTCTGTGATCTGATCAACCGGGACTTCTGTCTGTTCTTGCGAGCTGTTTGTATGTGTGAAGTTTCACCTGTGTGAGTGGAAGACAGTTTGTATTTCCTGAGTGGACTGCTGAACCCCTCATAGTCAGAGTCTTCTCCGCTCACAAAGCCTGCAGCGTCATTCTTCACCTGCAGACAGAGAGGGAGACGGGAGAATGTGTGGAGGTTAAAGAGAGGAAGAATCCATTAAACCACAAAATGTTAAATGTTTCCAAAAAAAGACTTAAAAGACTTTGATATTTTCAATACCAAAGTCCTCCACGTTTTTGCGTCTTATGGGCACAACAATTTTTGAAACTGGTCCGGTATTGATCGAGAGCGCTGCAGCTGCTGGGCTGCAGGGGCAACATTGTCAATGTTGATTACGTCCACTAAAAGTGCTGTTTTTTTGCCACTCACGGGCTCAGATTGTGCTTAGTAGTGTCTGACAGCATTATGAACAGAAGCCTTCAGAGATGGAGGGGAGGAGAAGTCTCCGTCTATAATCTAGTGACTTGTTGCAAGAAGACATCGGAGGAAACGTGGGTGAGAGCTGTAGACAGGAGAGCCGCTGTTTGTTGTGTTGGAGTACAGAAGGCGCAGCTGTTATCGAAAATATTTTCAATGTTATTACTGAATATTAAAATGATTTAGACAACTGGGGATGAGGTCTTTGAATTCAATGGCCGACTGTATTTATTTATTTGAGCCAGTGTTTACTGATGAATCGTAGAGCAGACGAGGAGAGAGAGGTGCAGCAGGCAGAGGAGAGTGAATCAGCTGCTGAGTGCTGGTGCTCCTGTGGGCGCTGTGACCACAGAGCAAGAAGGCTGTAAAGAGTGAGACCTGAAAAATATCAACGTCCCTCTTTTAGGCGCCAGTATACTCCATCAGAATTGCCCACCACACCTTTCTGTGTCCGTCATTTTCTCTAAATATTCGACCCCGACACTCCAACATTCACAGTCACCGGTCAGCTGTGTGGAGGTGAGGAAGCAAGCAGGGTTTGAACGTCTCTCTCAGCTCTCTGTTTTCACTCTTGACACAAGTATTCTGTCTCTCTCACATGTGCAACACTATGAAAGTCTTACAGGAGAGACTGTTTGTACATTATTATTATCTTCGGCCGTCATGGGACAGCACATTGTGAGAACAAGCTTGCATAACACTAGGTTCACATTTATAGCTATAGCTTTACAGTATTTACATAACAGACTTCATTTATTATAATTCATTTATGGAGAAAAGTAATATGTTGGTAATTATATTTTGAAAAGCAAATGATTTCTTAAAAGACATCTTTAATTACATTGTGACTGTAAGCTTGAAGTTATGCTTTTGCCTATAAATTGTATTGAGCCTCCAGTTAAAATCCTACATTTGAATTATTCAAGTCAATTCAAGTCAAAACTTGAATTCAAGATGTCGCCATTGTAATTTGATCAAGTCATATTTCCTAACATGAGGAACATACTTCTCTAAGATTGAAGGTGATCTCCAAGTTGGACCAGAAATATTCACAAAATTCAGGATACATGCCCAGAACCTGCAAACACAAATAACAGTAAATCAGCACTGCCAACACAACATTAACAGGTACAAAAATATATAGTACAAATACAGAACTGATACATGTTTTGAGAAAAAAGAAAATCTGTGAATACAATTTTGGTTTTCGATTCATTTGGATTATACCGACTAACACCTGCTCAGTTATCAGCCATTCAATGACGTCCCCAGAACCTGGATGGTTATAAATGTAAACGTAAAAACATGCGATACCTCCATTATATCCTCTCTTTGTATCTTGTGCAGATCACAGTAAGTCAGAGCTCTGACATCCGCACTGGATTTTCCTGGCAGAGCAAACTGATCAATGGGCTCCCCAAAGATATCGTTCTTCCCTGGAGGAGAAAAAACATGTAGTCAGGATATGAACAAAGGAATCTTTATTGGTTTGTTCATTTATTCATGTCGGAGACATTACTGACTCTACGTGAGTCTTCCTTGGGCCACTTGATGGAGCCACTAGCATATACCTGAGCCTCATGCATGCACCTTACCCAGTATAGCTATCACCACGTCTCCTTTGAGGATCTCTATGGATCCTCTAGAGATGAAGTACAGAGCTGATATCAGGTCTCCAGCGTGGACGAGGGTGTCACCAGGAGGAGAGTGGGTGTTCTTAAACCTCATGGCCAGGGCCCTGAGACAGCCCTTAGTAGATCCTAGACCACATAGCAAATACATGGTAAATGGACTGTACTTGTATAGTTCTTTTCTAGTCTTCCGACCACTCAAAGCGCTTTAACACTACTACACTATGTCATCATTCACCCATTCACACCCATTCACACACTGATGGCTGGGGCTGCCATGCAAGGAGCGATTAAGACTATCTAACATTCATGTGCCAAAGCAGGCAGGTGTCCTTTACCCATTTCATGAGACATTGAGCTGCTCTTTAAAATTGTCATGAGCTTTTCAGAGCTTCATTATTTTGGAGACAATGATTACTGTGTGTCAGTGCGCTGTAGTGTGTATCTCAGTCTCCCTGTCCATTCTCTGTAGCACATTCCCTATTCCCCTGACACATTCATGGACATTTTCCATTCATCCACCAGATGCCCTCAGACTTTCCTTTCTTTCCCCATTCACCTGAATGACCCATCCACCTCAACAGCCCTGGTACACGCCTCTTTTCCCCAATCACAATCAGATCATTGAAGTTTCTTTGTTGCAAAGTTGCTATGCACATTCAAGCCACCTGTACCTGCCTGCCTGTCTGTCTACCTGCTAACCTCCAGTCTGCTAGTAACCAACCTTCCCTCCAACCAGCAACTGCTGGTCATCTCTTTAAATGCACTTGCCTTGCTAAGTTCATGGGGTACCGCAGAGTCACCAGAGGACGGTGTGGTTCCCGTGGCTCCTGATATGGATGGCTCTCTCAGCTGCTCAGCGCCACAGAGACCCAGCTGCGCAGCTCCATGAAACCTCAACCGGTTGCCAACTACTTGCCTGAATCACAGTCAGCTGTCCCCTCCAATGGCCATCCAGATCTCCAGTCTGCTGCTGACACCCAGCCAGACCACCCAGATCTCTGGTATCATCAGTCCGCCTGTCGAGTACCTGGCCCTGACCTACAGCTGGATCATCAGTTTCCGGCTGCCCTTCCTGATTTCAAGCACCTGGGCCTCTCCCCAAGAGTGGATCCGCCCACCTGTCCTGCTTCCTGGCCGACTTCCAGAGCGGTCACCCCTACATTGCTTAAATCCTTCGCCCCTGCTCCCAGGCTGTCCGCGGAGGCCTCCTGTTCTACCCCCGTCTGCCTGTGGTGCCCAGCTGTTCTTCAGCTCCCAGGCCACTTGCCCCTGAGTGTTGTGTAATGGTGCGTTCACACCAAACGCGGCGCGAATTATTCGCGCGAGTAGATTACATACAAAGTCTATGCACAGACGCGATGAGACTGGCGCGGTGCGAATTTGCGATGGCGCGGCGCGATGGAAATCGCCCCAAACGCGTGAGTTGAAATTTTTCAACTTCTGCGAAATATTCGCGTGACGCTGTGGCGCGATAGCCTATCAGCGTTGAGTTGCTTCCCCTGTCATCAGTGACGTCCGGCCGTTGTTGAATCAGGAAATAAATACTGTAGCCGTCTGTGTTCACCCAGAGCTCTACGATACCTCATATCAACAGAGACCGGTCCAAACTATGTGTATAAATGTGTGTAAAGCATATGGTACAAACAATGAATAGACGCTGCCGTATTTACGTCTACATGACGTTATTCTGACTGTTGGTGGAGCTGCTACAATGTTAGCATAGCCTAGCACCGATCCATCCGCTCCATTGAGAAGACAAGTAGCCTACAAATCGGCATCATTACGTAGTTATTTCAGAGTCCCTTTTTGTCGGTTTATTGCCGTTAAATCACAGCCAAATCAGTTTATTTAGTGTTCATACAGCTGTAGTAAACAGCGACGTGTGGCTCACTAGACACAGTGAATACACTTCGATAAAATCCATGGAGCTCCTCTGGACAATGTTATGAACCAGACATGACGGCGTTTAGTTTCCCGGGATATCTGTGACTTCCACAACACGTACTAAGCAGAAATACAGGTTCTTTTTTCATGGTTAATGGCGGACAGTTGAACGGCTTTCAGGGCGATAAGCCCCGCCCCCTCTCCGGCGCGTCCAGCGCGAATGAACACAAATAGTCCCCGGTGAGACCAGCGGTGCGATTGACGCGAATATGCGGCGCGATGAATTCGCTTGGTGTGAACACGGCATAAGAACTGTGAATGTAAGCTGTGCTTTCTAACTTGATGGCTAAACAGAATGTTTCTGGAGGATAAGTATTTTGGAAGCTGACGGTCAAATTGTTGTTGGAGGGAACCTACAGGTCTGTTTCTCCAAACAGTTTACTTCTAATTTGGGTTACACATTTAACTTTGAACATGTCCACATTTACTCTGCTCTGTTACAGGAAGTTAGTAATACTAACATATGAGTCACTGTATACCCTTATTAAACATAAAAGTAATTTGATGAGTGAGGCATTTTGATGTAGCTAGTGGAGGTAAATTATCTTGCATACAATGTAAAGTGTAAAGTAACATATACAAATCTCAAAATTGTACTTTTCATGTGTAATGCAAAGAAGTATTACCTTTAAAAGCCTTAAAGTCTTGCAGCAGGGACCTGTTGAGGTGGAGACAAATATCTGCCTGGAGACACTCTGGGAAACCTTTTAAAACCTGGGGGACAAGGAGAGATTGGGACACAGAGAGAGGACACCCTAGATTACTAATTCAGCTGCAAGTAGCACGCAGACAGTAAATATATTCCATTAAAAAGTTAGATATACAAAGCCGACATGCCATATAAGCCCACTTGCAACTTCATCATTTTTTGCTCTGTAACGTTTCTTCCAATGAAGCTACTTGTGACATAAATTACTTTTGACTTTTTTACTGAAAGTCAATCAGATATGTTGATATTGAGTGACATGATGTGTGGCATGTTCCTGCTGATCCCAAAAAAACGTTGGTCATTTAAAAAATGTAAGTGAGTAGTGTTTTCATACATGTAATGTTAGAATATAACTTGAATTAGAAACATTGTTTCTTTTGAAATCAAAATACGAGTTTTAGAATGCAAGCAAACAGACCACATGCTGCATCGATATATAAAATGGAAATATTATAAGGGTCGTTTTTGACTATTTCCATGAAAGTCAACATATCATTTTAGTAGCTTTGTAAACTTTTAAATCTTCAGCAGAATGTTAGTTACTAGCAAAACAAGATCTAAAGAGCCGAGGACTCACAATATAGCCGGAAGTCTCCCATACTCACAGCGTTCATGTCTATTCCATTAGTGTATGACCAAGCGTGTTGGAAGTATTCCTCCAGCCGCTGTCTCAAAGGGTTGGGGATCTGGTGGAAGCGGATGAACTCTCGAACTCTCATCATCTGGGCATGGTAGCGTGCTGTACCAGAGTACAGCCGCTGGATAATGGCTGACACGTTACCGAAAATACTGGCATACATCAGAGCTGGAGAGGAGAGTAAATCAGAGACCTTTGAACTCAAACTAAGAGTTTAATACAATAATTGGACTGTCTAGTTCATAAGAGACCAACGAAAACAATCATAACCATAATGAAAGAAATGACTCAATACAAAGCACGCTGGCATGCATTCCGATATCTTCTCTGTTCACATTGAAAATGCTCAGTGCATGAACACTGTGCTTTTCCACTGGGGGCCAGATTTATTCATTTATTTGCTAAATGTTTGGTGTTACTTTTCCAAGCAGAAACCTTGTTGCTACTTGGATTCTTGGAGGTTTTTCCATCTGAACTTAATGTTGAACCATTCAATAAAAACTGTCATTTACTTGACATAAGTGTCTGTGACTAAACAATGTTACCCTATTAAGTCAAAGATAATTTGTACTGCTTTCAGAAACAATTTGAAACAAAACTGCTGTTACTTTAGCTTCACTAGTTGTTCTGACATTTCCAAACAGCTGTATATGTTAGACTCACCTCCTACAAGCATGACGCAGATGGAGAAGATCTTCTCAGAGTTGGTGTTTGGGGAGACGTTCCCGAAGCCTACGCTGGTCAGACTACTGAAGGTGAAGTACAGAGCTGTGACATATTTATCTCTGATGGAAGGACCTGAGCCGATGATGGACTCATTGTACGGCCTCCTAAGCTGCTCACCCAGGTTGTCCAACCAGCCAATCCCAGCCGAGGAGGACCGCTCCACATTCCCTATGGCATACCTGGGGTAAGAAAACAGGTGAAATGCACCTTCTATACATGAGATGCAGCATTTTCAACACTGGCTCCTAGGTCTGAAATAAAAGCTTAAAATTATCATTTTCAACATAGATTCTCTCATGATGTCATTTATAAATGAAGTCAATGGAAGAAAACAGTATTTGAAAGTTCCCAAACCCTTTTGAATTAGATTTTTTTCAATGGGAGCCAATATTATGGAACTATGATGTAATAAAAATACCACAACAGCAAAATTATGTTTTGTCCACAATGTATTTCCCCATCAAACTGTTACATCGTACATTGTATTTGCTCAAATTGGCAATTGTGAGTAATTTCCAAATACTTTCCTATTGCATATAAAAAATATCAAGTTGTAATAAATGTTCCTTGTGGAATTGTACAGCTGATAAAATGGCATTTTCAGTGACAAAAATCTAAAAAGCTTAACTTCTTTTGGGGAATGGAATAAAAGCCATTATAAAAAATGTTTAAAAGGAAAATGACTCTAGTCCACCACCAGGATCTATTTTTCTGATATTGGCAAATATTATGGCGTCCTCCATACGCATTTGTTCTTCTTAACAAATGTAGAGAAGGACAGTATGCTACAAAATTGTGTATAATATACAGTTTATACCATCAACTCACATCTCAAGATTTGTAGTTGTGATTTTTTTGTTAAGATAAAGACACAAAGTTTCTGGTTTTATGAGTGCTCATTTATAAACAGCATTCAGGGGAAAACTACGAATCAAACAAACCATACTGTTAGGTTGGAAGCACATTTTATTGTTTTATGAAAACAAAACTAGAAAATATAACTGACTGTTAACCTACTTATTATATTGGGTGAGTTTCATATACACAAATCAAATCTGTCCCAGCTATTGAATTATTTATTACAGACTTTGTAAATGACACTGAGTCTGTTAGAACTATCCATCAATAAATGTGTGCGTACAATTAGTCTGCTTCAGGAATTAATTAAGGCCATTGTTTTTTGTATATTTTTCTGTATATCAATGTAATTCACGTACTTATCTTTAAGCACATGAATAGCATTACTATACAAACTATTACTATATGAACTGTATTATCAATGGTGCTACGTATTGTGTTATTACAATGATTTTTCCTTTCTCTTCTTTATTTTTCTCTAGTTTTTCTTTATTTATACTTCATGTCTTAATTTATCTCAACATGAGGAGATGGATGTCTGTTTTTTATTTAAATTCAGATCACAGTATAAATCTGATCAAAAGACTTGTTTTGAGGCCAAAACCATCAATTTGTGTTACGAAGCTTCTCTTTTAATCGACTGTCTCCAGAGGCTATGTGACGTACGTTTGGACATGATACTGCAGGATAAAGTAGAGTCACGTACCAGATGCAGGCCAGCCAGTGGGCGATGAGGGCAAAGGTGCACATGAGGAGGAAGAGGACAGCTGCACCGTACTCTGAGTACCGGTCCAACTTCCTGGCTACACGAACCAATCGCAGTAACCGAGCTGTCTTCAGCAGGCCAATCAGTGTGGTGGTCTGTTAGGAGGAGGAGACAGAGAGCAGCAATGTGACTATGTGACTGGATCAAAATATGTCAGTGAAGAACTAATAAATAACAATATCAAATAAAGAATTGCTGTTTCTTTCTCCTATTTGACTTGTGCTCCTTGTTTCCCTTCATTCCCAAAAGTCTTTCCTTCCTACCATCCCACTTTTTACCCAAACCTCCATTCCTCTCCCCCACCCTTATCTGTCTTCTTCTTTCCCTCCCTCCTCCCTACCTCTCCCTCTCCACCTCCCCTAACCACCTCCTCTCCGGAGCGGTAGATGAGGAGGTCAAAGGGAATGGCTGCCACCATGTCGATGAGGAACCACCCTTTGAAGTAGTGGACTACAATCCGAGAAGACTGGCTCACCACCTGAGGAGAATAAAAACAGTTTATATAACAGCTCAGTAGATTTAACTCAATATTCCACAACCTTGTCAAATGACAAAGATATGGATGTATTAAAGTATTTTTGTCCGCACCAGCGACAGCCGTGGCCAGACACATTATGTTTTTGGGACCGGTTAGATCAAGGTCACTGTGACCTCGAGTTGGACCCATTCTCGTGATACTTCATTTCAGCGAAGTTCTTCAAATTTGGCACAAACAAACATCCACTTGCACGCGAGCAACAGCTGAATACATTTCTGTGGCCAGAGGTCAAGATCACATTCAAGGTCATGAATGAGACATTGCATTGAGAACCCCACTGATTACAATTTGGTGATCAAAGTTCAAGATAACTTTGACCACGTTTTTGTCCATAACTCAAGAATTCATGTGATGACTTCACGGTGCACATAGACAGCAATCATGTGTTTGACTCTGAAACCACAAATAGAGCAGGTGGCTCAATGAATCGGTCGATTAGTCACTCACACAAAGAAGAAAAGTTTACGAGATCAGTTCGTCGCTTAATCATCAACCCAGTCACCAGAATAAAATGTTGGCGTTGTACGGTTCTTATGCTTTACTTCAAAGCACGATAGGATATTGCTGGCACAAAGTCGTTTCTGTTTATCTTTGATGGATTCAGCTGTGAGTGAGGTCCTCCATAGCAGAAATATATCTTTTTGCGTTTATGGCTTCGGGAAGGCAAAAAAATAGCCACTCTAAAGTCTAAACCTAAAAGGTTAAAGGGTTTTTATTTGTCTTTGTACGACAGGGTTGCACAAAGAAATGTAGATTGTCGTCCCAGTTTAGTACATAGGAAAGAATGGCAGAGAGGAAGGATATTGACACATCACTGCCCACAGCATCTTTCAGACCACCCAGCCGTGATAGCTCCAATATAAACGTGATTCTGGGGGCAAAGCATAATTGGCAATGCTGTTTTGTTGTATGGGAACATAATGTTTAGACCATCAAGGCTGTAATCAGACAATCAGATCAGTTCACCTCATCATTGGAGTTCACATATGTGGTCCTGAAGTTGATGATGATGTCAACAATGAACATGATGTCCACTATAAGATCCACCACGTTGAGGGGAGAACAGGAGTAGCCACAGGTCTGCATGGCTGCCTCCTCCTGGTCACTAGAGAGACATGCATCAATAAAGGAAGAAATGGGTTTTGCTCCAAAAGAGAATGAAACCTCCACTGAAAAAAAACACAACAGCAACAGTACAAATGAGTAGGTCACAGAACGTAAGACACCTTTACAGACTTGCACCTAATATCAACAAATGTCTAAATTCATCTTCAACATGAAAACACTTTTGCACGTTTGATTCTCGAATCAGTCTAATGTTTGGACATACAAATAATTCTGATATCCCCTGCAGAGGAAAGGTCAGGGGTCATTTCAGGTTTCATCTCCAGAGTAGATTCCACTTTGTCTCATATCAGACAGAATTGTCAATTGTCTGACATTTCCATTGGGAGACCAACGTATCCGCCTGAATCTAACGTCACTTTAAGTCGACAGGTGATGTGTTGCCATGACAACATACGAGTTTAAAGACAACAACATACCTATGATGTCAGGTGATATTGGAAGAAATGCTGTACATGTAAAATGTATTCATTAATCAAGGGATAATATCAAATTCTAATCTATCATTCAGCAGCCCAAACGCAGAAGAGAGGCCGTCGAGTGAACAATTCAGAGAAGTCAGTACAACGGAGGTAAATACGCCAAGCCCAGTGGTGTTCGGATTTTAAAGTAATAGATACTTTTAATCAATTTAGAACAGCCTCAATATCAGCGTCAATGCTGCTGTAGCGGCCTGTTTTTATTATTACTTCTCGGTTCCAACAAACAAATGACAACCATCAACAACAACTTGTCAACAACGGCGTTATTCCCCCAGATGGTGCGGATTGGCTAATTGTTAGTCTCTGCACGGCTCTAATTGCCTCAAGATTAGAGATATTTGACGTAGTTAAATATTTTGACCGAAGTATGGCACTGGAGGAAAGGTCGGGCATTTAAAAAAGCTATTAGAGCTCAACCTTTGGGGACCATATATAGTAGTTTCATGGCAGTGTGTCACACACAGCTTAAACCCACATTTCCTTTTCTACCCACAATACTAAACAGTACACTGCTAGTATACGACAAAATCCCAAACAAAATATTAGAAATGTTAATGTGTTGCTTTGCTGTGCTCTGCATAACTGTAAAAAATGATATCAATAGTGGCCTCATATTTCCACATTTTGTACCAGCTCACTGCTAATATTTAGAACTGTAAAATCATGAAATAAACGAGGGAGTAACTAATGTCTTTTTTGACCTTCATCTAAATAATAATGAGCTCATTCAGCCTGTATAAGACTAAATACTAAACTTCATGAAAAGTCAATTTCAATATTGACATAGCCAAAGTTTGGTTAAGGTAACGAGTGTCATGGTCATTCTTATCTCCGCTGAGATGTTGAGACAATGTCCCTCCAACAAAGCCAGCTGGTTAAAAGTATCAACCTTCATCAGCGCTGTTAGTTCTAGCAGTAGTAGTAGTAATAATCACGCCATGCAGGACAGGTGAGCTGTGCTGTGTCAATTTCCACCAACCTCAGTAGAAATGTAGCAGAGTAAGGAGTGAATATGGCGGTATAAATGACTAAGAGCAAAATGACCCAGTCCCACACAGCTTTGAAAGGACTGTAGTGAAGGATGGTCCACTTCTGGATCCTGGGAGTCTGCAGTTTATACTCAGGTAACACATCAGCACCCAGAGACAGCACCTAGAGGAAAGAGAGACAGAGCGATCTGTCAGTCAGTTCATCCACACTTCAATTATTATTTACAGCTCTGTGGCCCCTTCTACACTTCTTTATTCAGGTTTCCCCTCAGTCCCCTCCGCTCTGTGTTGGACTGTTGAGCACACTACCATACTGTAAGCACCTGGAGAGGAAAACCTAAGATGGTACCAGTGAGAGTGAGCAACTGTCGTACCTGCTCTGCTCTGACTTTGTTGTCATTTACTTTTTTTGCACAATTTAAATCCACTATTTTGCACCAATCCCTTTAGCTATCGTCACACATGATAGACAGACACTTTTGGATTCAAACAACAAACACATTGATTTCCTCTGACTATCCTACTTGGCCCAGTGTAATCCTAAGGAGGGACGACAGCAAAGAACATGCCAGCTGGAAGACTTGAGGAAGCCACCAAGGGAAAGGATCTGGAGTCAGGAACAGGCTGAGGACCCGGGCACATTGTCCACCCTGTCCCAATATAGTACTAGCCAATGTCCAGTCTCTAGAGGACAAGCTGGATAAACTCAGAGCCGGGATGCAAAGACCAAATAGACATAGAGAACTGTAACATCCTCTGCCCCACAGAAACATGGCTGACCAACCAGCGGAGGCCCTCTCAGTTCACTGCATGCCTGTTGGACTATGAAAGATCAAAGGGAGGGGGAGTATATCTATGGCAAATAACAACTAGTGTGACAGCAGGAATATCATGTCTCTAATGAGCTCCTGTTCATGCAACTGGGAGCTGCTGACCCCTCCTGACCGGAGCCCTATCTATCTTACCATGGAGTTCACTTATGGCATGTGATGTTGGGTGTTGCCAAACATCACATGCCTGACCAGGGGTGAACAGACACTGAAATACCACACACAGAACAAATGGTAAATGGACCTGTACTTGTTTGCGCTTTTCTAGTCTTCTGAGTACTCAAAGAGCATTCACACCCTTTCATACACTGATGGCAGGGGCTTCCATGCAACGTGCCCCCTGCCCCTCAGCTCTAACTAACATTTACACATCGCAGGCACAGCCTACGGGAGTAGTTTGTGGTTAAGTGTCGAGCCCAAGTACACATCAACATGGACTAGCGGAGCCGGGGATGGAACCGCTGATCCTCTGATTGAACATCGCTCGAACACTGAGCCACAGTCGCCCATATTTTTCACATACTGGTACGTTCATTAACACCAGGAACAACAAGCAGCTACATCACAAACTCTGTGATAAAAGTTTGATTACAAAATGTTAAGAAACATTAACAGGCTAATTAAGCTATGTAATAAAAGGGATTAACTTGATAAAATAAAAAATGTACAGTATACCAAAGCTTTTTTTTTACACTGGCGAGCTACAATAAAACACTCATAATAAGTAAAAAAACACTCATCTGGTGGCTGTACAGTGTCACAAAAAAAACAAAGTGGCACATATGGGAAGAACAAGCTTCAATAAAATGTGATCTGTTCTTATGTGCACCACTCCCATGCTAGCCATTTTTAGTTGTCATTAAGAAGTCAGCTGTTCTTGTTCTTTTGGCTTTGTGTCTCTAGCCATGATGTGATCAATCCTCCTCTGGTGGTTTTTGAGTGAATTCAGGTTTGGGTATATCACAGCGATATGATTCAGACTGTTTTTGGGTCCGCAGGTGTTAGAAGTACGGGTACAAAGTGCAGTCTTACATCCCTTAAATCCGGCCATCTTCCACTTCCACAAACAGCTGAAACTGGAAGCTCCGGTTCAGAGGAGGTCATACGCTTTGCTGACCAGTCAGAGGCCACTCTAAGTAATAAAGACTGTGACAGGTTTTAGCGCAGTTGTGAAGAATCAATGCTTACAAACTCTATTGTGGGATTCATTGGGAAATATGTGGACAATATTGTTTCTAATGTGACCATCAGGACCTTTCGAAACCAAAAGCCATGGGTGGATCCCACCCACCTTGATGCTCTGAAGGCTTCTACAGCCACATACACCAGATAAACGGCTATAAAGCTGCACTATACAACATCCATAGATCGGTGAAGGAAGCAAAGCAACACAACAAACTTTATTTTTGTCCCCACAACAACTGGAAAACTCTTTCTCAACGAGGGTTCAGTACACAGTGGGATTCATTTCAAAACTGAAGCTCAGGATAGATCGATACCAGCCTGGCGTGACCCAACTTCAAATTTGGAAGCTTTGCCACTTTACGTTGTTTTACTGTTTACACGTTTTAAAAGTCCACGTTGGCGTCTCTAATGCCTCTAGCACCGATTGTAGGCTCACAGGCTGGTAAAAACTTGTAGGCTACTGAAATAGACTGTGTGAACGTTAAGCCTCATTTGGAACCAGTGAAGTAATGACATTAGTAGATGGGTTTGGGGGTAATCCCTAAAACCAGATTCTGCATTCATATCCAAGTGTAACCAGAATAATAATTTAGTCTGGATCTTAATTATTATATTTTGGAACTATGTTACTGTCACCTTAAATGAGGTTGACAGGCGGTCACATAGCCGTTTTTTCCTCTGTACACAGAAAATTGCTAGGAGAGTCAATCTTATCCTTAATAGACGATCTTTGTGACTCCATGCACAGAGGTCGATAGAAGTGATAATCTGTCTCTTAATAGAGGATCTTTGTTTATTTCCGTCGTCTGTTTGAGTATGGTAGGAGTTGTAAGGAGAAAAAAAGATTAGTTAGATCCCGATAGAATAAAGTTAACAACTTTATATTGAATGTGGAACGACGAGTCACTGAAGAGCTGTAGTTTCGCCTAGAGATCCTTAGAATTTTCAACATTTGATATCCTGGTGAGTTGATTGAAGTTCAATGCTTTTACCATTGAATGCTAGCTTTCTTAGCATGAATGCTCAACGATATTTAGGAGTAAGTTGTGTATTTTACTAAAAAAGCCAGTCAGGATAAATCTGAAGGGGATACAAAAAGGCATTGATGAAGATGTAATGATTGTAGTTGAATGCCTTGAGTTATGTATGTTCGCTAATTAGTTGTTATATTGTGTGTGATGTTTACAGCCATGCGGGTTGCAGGCCCAGTTGAGTAAATTTAGTAATGAACTATTGTCCTTCACATGTGCAGGCTGTTTTTTTTGTATAGCTTCTTCGTTGGAACCAGAGGTGTCGTCCATCCACCGTCCTGCCTGCCACCACTCACCCCATCTCCATTCATCTTACCGTCTACCTTCACCTGAGAGGAATCTTCATCTCAATCGGACATCACAATTCACTTGGAGTCTATTTCGCTGGACACTGTTTGTGCACAGGGGGGGCGGTAGGACATTTGAGAACTAAGCTCTTTCTTTTATAATTTTTTCAATTTAATTTATTCCTGAGATCTCAGAGGTGTTTTTGATTTTCATATTACATGCTTGGACACTTTTTGATGTTTGGAAATGTGAAATTGTTGTAGAATGGATCATTATATTGTGTACTAATTAAACCTGTTGTTGCTTGCGTAATTCGGGGTGGATATTTATTGTCTGTGCAGCAGTCAGACGAGGAACCTATTAACCAATCTCCTCATCAAACCTAGATTAGATTTGATATTTTCTGTTATTCTGCACTGTCTCTAAAGCAACAGCTGCAGGGGGGGTTACACAAGCTTTTGGTATTGTATCGTATGGTAACGCTGTTGCGTTGCTGCGTTACGTTACGTGGTTGCGTTAGTTCTGTGGTTCCGTGGTTGCGTTACGTGGTTCCGTGGCTGCGTTGTGTGGCTGCGTGGTCGCGTGGCTGCGCCGCGTGGCTGCGATCTGTTGTTGCTTGCTGCGTTTAGTTGCTTCGTTCCGTTGCTGCGTTACGTTATGTTGCTGCATTACGTTTCTGCGTTATGTTATGTTGCTGGGTTATGTTATGTTACTTGTTGGTTTCTTTGCACTGTCAGCAGGATAGGTCAGGACAGGATAGATCTTTAAATTATTATTATAAGCCCTATTTTATATTTGTTATCTCAGTTTGTCATTCATATTAGAAAACATGACTCTTCCTATAGCGAAGGGTTTAAAGTTTGTTACAACTTGGGTTTTGTCTTCACAGTTTTCATAGTAGATATAATAACACTGTATTCATCTTTGGTTAATTGCTGAGATGTAGGAACATGGTGACATCAATACAGGGAAGCTGTTTGTCCAGATGATCTAAACCACTTTATTTGGAGGATGAGCTGGAATATAGCTAATAATTCCTAAATACACAGGGAAACTTTATACACAGAGGTACAGTAAATACAGTTGATATACTTTGCTGAATAGCAGTAATTATGGTGATGTCTTCCCATAACATACCAGGTAATATTCAATAAATGACTACTCTAAACATGGAATCAATTAAACTTCACACACACACACACACACACACACACACTGTTCTACTCACCTCATGAGCTATTGAGGAGATGCGGACAGCTCTCTTCACTCTGCTGTTTCTGCATTGACTGTCCAAACCTGACAGGCCATCCTGAGGAACACTACACACTACAGACATGGTCCACAACTGCTGCGAGTCCAATTTAATTTTCCTGTCCTGTCCTGTTTGTCCAGCTTGTCTTCTTCTTCTGTCCTTCTGTCTCAGATGTTTTACAGTTTACTTTTCCTCTGTGTTTTGTAGTTTGTTCAGTTGCTCGTCTCTGAGAGTTTGTCAGCCTATCCACCCAATTCCTGTTTGCCTTGTGGAGGTCATTGTATCCTTCACCTCATTGCTATCATTCATTTGTATCTATTATAAACCATGCACTGTCAAGGGTTGGAGTCATCTGACTTTCAATTTAGATTCTTGGATGACAATTTAGTTTAGTTCAAGTTTGGCTAGATCAAGTCATGTTTCCCTTGATTCACAATAGTTGAACTCATTGTTGTTTTGTGAAATTTGAGCATATTCCACAAAAAATCTTTTACTTTCACACAAGCAATTGGAAGATACTTTAGGTATAGTTTGCCTGAATCTGTTCTTGTAGCAATGCTTTCTCATTTCATGATGCAAAGATCACCATAATAGTATTCTCAAAGCTGTTTTATTGAGACGTCTAACGTTCCCATGGGTCAGCTCACAGCCACACATTGAGAGATTTACCTTCAGAATCCCTTCAGCACTTCATCCACAACAAGCTTTTGGTCTTAATAAACCTCCCAGTGATGCTTCAGAGACAAGAGTCCTGAGTGACACAAAGTAGACCCAGAAGTGCTCAATAAGTCCAGTAGGCTTCAGAAGTTGATAAAAGCAAAACTCTTCCAGCAGCAGGTAAAACACTTCTCTTGGCAGGATTATTTCAGTTGACAGCTTCGTCTTTCTCCCACTCTCTTTTTCTCAGACAGACTTATATCTCTTCTTTTCTCCCAGCTCTCCTTCCTTTACTTTCAGTCTGTGATCTGAGCTTTAGTAGAACTCCTCAACACTTTCAGTCCCACACACTCATCCTTCTTTCTCCTCCCCCTTTTGTCTCTCTCCTTATTCTTCTCTCTTCCCTCTTTCCCCCTCCTCTCTCAACCGCGATGCAGCATTTACATTCTACAAGACAAATGGTAGATATGCTTTGCACAAATAAAACAAAAAAACCTCACCTCTCAAACAAGAAGATATATACTATATTGTTATAACGTTCAGTTGTCTCAGTTAGCCACTTGTTAGAAATCTTCTTTTTTAAGATATGTAAAAGCTTCAGAATTCACCAATGGGGTATTTCCGACGTAATTTACGTCGTAGAAGAAATTGTTAAAATCTCTTAAACTTGTTTTAACCACAGCTCCTATTTCAAAACCAAAAACCCACTCAAAGACTCATTTTCAGGCTTTAGGACTCATTCCTGCAGCACTCTCAGAACCAGTGTTACAGGGTCACATTGAGTTTTATATGAGACTCACCGCGACAGACCGCGAAGTGGCTCTGCTGGTGTACATTCACTGGTATTTTTGGACAAGCTCCACTGCAGACCCTCGAGCTTCCATTTGTGGCCTCCTAAGCTAACAATAGCCTATCCAATCAGCAGACACACGCACATGTACACGCACACACACACGCACAAACACAAACAAACAGGCACAGTGTTAAGGGCAGTCACCTACATTGTTTCCACAGTGATAGCATTATCTGTGACCTTGTCCCTGGAGAAACAAAGAGAGACATATAGTTCATAAGGATGAAGGATCAAACCATTAGCATCCATTGAACAGCTCACTGCACTTTTAAAGCTCTCACAGAATTAAACTGCTTGCTGAAACATTTTAGAAAAAAATAATGTAAAATCTAATTTAAGAGTTTATTGCATTGATATTGCACTGTATCATAAGGGCAGTAGATGTACTACAAGACAAAGTCCGTCAGTGGGACATATAAATGCTACAAATACCCTGGATGTCTCATGCTGCCTTCAAGACAACTACTATAAGAACAAATACAACAGAACGTCACTCAAAGTCGGAGTTCCTACTTCCGACTTCAAGAAGCAGACACAACAATGGAGGTACACATTGTAAATGATAAACCATCAACTAAAATGCAATGTAAAGTATATCAGCCAGTATTTAACTAAAACAATACATACTATCTAAACAGTCTGTGAAAGTTCTTCTCTGCACAAAAGTCATTCTGGAAAACGTTTAAAATGACAGAAAAATGTGGAGGCTGCACTGCTGAGAGTTCAAATGTGTGAGGAAAAATTCTGACCTCTTAGTTGTCTGGCAACATTAGCACCAGTGCATACGTAAGTGTTACAGTATTATTCAGGTACACAATCTCAGAAGTCATCAGTAATGTGATCAAAACGCTCCTGGTCACGGCAAATGAACTATACGGTTATCAGAAGTTCACGTCGTCCAGAATGCGCCACAGAACAGAAGAATGTCCCATCAGAGCTCTCCAACTGAAACAGGTGACAGTTTGGGGGACAGAGAGGAAGACGGTGCCCCTTTACAGTCATGGAGGTGCACATAAATGCTGTGTGATGTTCAACAATTTTAAAACAACCTCCGCTGCTGTTTGACCAATTTATCTATTTTATATTGTTGCTTTTTTTCATGTCTTTTTACTTTTCAGTGGTATACTTAGATTAAAATCACCAACGCTAACTGGTTATGTCACAAAAGCAATATCTCAATCTAACTCTAAGACTTACGATCCAAGGACAGCTTATACAGTATATAAAACAACTTAAGTGTGTCATTTAATACTGATATTTATCATTTATCACTTTTAGGAATTATTTTGTTGAGAAACATGAATGGGCACGGACAAATGAATAAACTGATTTAAATTGGTTCTCAAAATATTTCACATTGAATATGCTTCTAATAGACTTAAAGCTGCCATAATTAATAATAACAATGGATAAAATTAGTATTATGAGAATTATTAATTATTAATTATAAATGGACTAAAGCGCCTTTCTAGTCCCTCGACCACTCAAAGGGCTTTACCACTAAATGTCATCATTCACCCATTCACACCCATTCATACACTGATGGCAGGGGCTACCATGCAAGGCACCACCTGCCCACTATGACTATCTAATCATTCACACACCGATAGCACAGCCTTCGGGAGAAATTTGAGGTTAAGTGTCTTGCCCAAGGACACATTGACATGGAAAGGAGGAGCTGGGGATCGAACCGCCGATCTTCTGATTGAAGGACGACCCGTCTACCTTCTGAAATAGCTTTGGTTTTGCGGCCCACAATTGTGATGTTCATTTTTTATGTTTCTGTTCACAGCTCTCATCAACCTTGTTTATAGCAGCAGCAGACAGCTGTTTTCAGTGAAAAGGCACTCATGAACTCACTGTTAACCCTTCGTTTGCCCGCCCAAAGCTAGTGACTAGCTGGTGAATACAGTGGAGCAATTAGCAGATTAAGAGCCAGCTATGTTTCTCAGGAGACCAGTGTGCAAAATACGGGGGTCTCTTGGGGACCGACACTTCAGACCCCCTGAAGGCCTCAATAGCAAAAGTCTGGGGGATCACTAAAAATGATTTAAATTGTGACCAGAATGTCTTCTAAAAACGTACTAAGCAGACGCACATACAGTCCGAGACGCAACAGGTTGCGTGAAGTGAGCAGCCTAAATGGACCCTCTTTGGACAAAATGAATCCAGTATCTTTCTGGAGAACCCTGATCAAAGCAGGACATCGTCTCTCCTCTTCTTGGATACCAGCAAAGCAACCAGAAGAAGCCGAGCCAAGGACTGTGTGTCGGGTTTGAGCGTGTGCATGTGTGTCCGTGTTAAGAGAGAGAGGCGATTGTCCAAGTGATGTGTGTGCAAAATGTGTACAATTGCCTTGGCTTGCAACCATTAAATTGTCAATATTGCGCATTAAATTTGTCCAGCCCTTAAGCATAATACTGGAGCACTAGGTGGGAGGACCCCCCCATTGCCACTAGGTATTTCGCACACTGCAGAGACCAAAACAGAGCTTAAAGCAGGTTCAAGGTTCAGCTTTATTGTCATTATACAATACAGGACTGCACAAAAGGAAGAAAAAATAATATTCACAAAGAAAGTCTCCTGCCACAAAAGCTTGATGTGTCCATTCAGATGTCTGGAGGATACTCTATGGAACTGATCAGGGAGGATCAGCTGAACATACTATCATATACTTACTTACCAGCCCCCTTTTTTATTTGGTACACCTTGCTAGTATGTGGTTGAACCCACTTTTGCCATCAGAACTTCCTTAGTTCCTTATGGCACAGATTCAACAAAGTGCTGGAAATGTTCTTTGGAGCTCAATATTGTAATGATAGCATCATGCAGTAGCTGCAGATTTGTCTGCTGCACATACATGATTCGAGTCTCCCGTTCCACCACATCCCAAAGGTGCTCTATTGCATTGAGATCTGGTGGCTGTGGAGGCCATTTGAGTGCAGTGAACTCATTCTCATGTTCAAGGAACCAGTTTGAGATGATTTGAGCTCAGTGACGTGGGGTGTCATTCTGCTGGAGTAGCCATTAGAAGATGGGTGCATTGTGGTCATAAAGGGATGGACATGGCCGGTAATAAGACTCAGGTAGGTTTTTTCACTACAGCAGCATTTATGGTACAGTTAAAGCAATACAAATAACAGAGTAAAATATTAAATATAAAGAATGCAAATATAAAAATGCACAATATATACAATAAAAATAACAAAACATATTAATTAAAAAAATGTACACTATATACAATGATATAGGATACTATCAAAATTAACTAACTAAACAATAGTGCAAAGATTTAACCAAACCAAACAAACAACAGTGTAACGGTGTTATAGTTGTGTAATTGATCTGGCCAGCGGTGATTTGTTATAAAGTCTTATAGCAGTGGGCAGGAATGTTCTCCTGTATCGGTCCTTGTGACAGCGGAGCTGGATCAGTCTGTTGGAGAAAGTGCTCCGCTGTCCCTGTAGGTGGTGGAGAGGGTGGTCCGGGTTATCTAATATGGACAATAATTTCTTCAGTGTCCTCCTCTCCACCACCTCTTCCAGATCGTCTTGTTTGCAGCCAATGATGGAGCCGGCCTTCTTAACCAGTTTGTTAAGTCTGTTGGTGTCTCTGGCTCCAATGCTGCTCCCCCAGCAGACTACGGAGAAGTACAGTGCACTGGCCACAACAGACTGGTAGAACATCTCCAACATCTTGCTGCACACGTTGAAGGATCGAAGTTTCCTCAAGAAAAAGAGTCGACTCATCCCCTTCTTGTACACAGTGTTGATGTTGGTCTTCCAGTTCAGTCTGCTGTCGATGGAGACACCCAAGAACTTGTACTCCTCCACCATGTCCACATCCTCTCCCAGAACTCTCAGCAGTTGTGGAGCCGTCGTCTTCCTCCTGAAGTCGACCACCATCTCTCTGGTCTTGGTCAGTCATCCACTACTGCCCTGTACTCCTCCCGTCCGAACCTTATACACCCGATCACTGCAGAGTCATCAGAGAACTTCTGCAGATGGCATGACCCTGAGTTGTACTGGAAGTCAGTGGTGTACAAGGTCAACAGGAAGGGCGACAGAACAGTTCCCTGTGGAGCTCCAGTACAACTGACCACCGTATCAGACAGCACACTGCCCAGTCGGACAAACTGTGGTCTGCTTGTGAGGTAGTCAGTGATCCAGGAGACGGTGGACGCGTTAACCCCCACCACCCGCAGCTTCTCACTCAGTAGCAGTGGTTGCCACCCTAACCCTGACCCATTTTTTTTAAAGGGTTCAAACCCACACTGGGCCAGCCCCCTCCTCAAACGGTCTGGGGGCAACTCAAAGCTGGACCTATCAGTCTTTAAAAAAACAAACAAAAACAATAAATAAAGGAAATAATTTAATAATATTCAACTTGGTTGACCCGGCCTGACTGATCCTACTGTCCTGTTCTGGAGCTCCCTGACGGTGCCCTGGTCGTGGTTTGCTGCCAGTGGACGGGGCGATACTGCCACTAACTTTGTTTACGTACATTTTTTATGTAATTTGCCCTTATTTATGTACTTTCTTACATTTTTTTCTTTCATATCAGAAGGCTCAGACACTCAGACACGCACACACACACACACACACAGTTCTCCCATACAATGACTATATATGTTTGCTGTCTTGTATCTCGCTGTTCTTGTCGTCCTCTTGTTATGTCTTTTGTATTGTCTCCTGTCTTGTAATAAATAAAAAAAGAAGAAAAAAAAGAAGGTGGATCTTGCTGAATAGCAGCTTTTCTGAGGGCATACACCAGAAAAGGAGTGTAAAGATTTGGATGCATTACAGTGCCGTGTTGCAGATGAATGCTGACGCATGAACACTGATGAGAGGGAATTTCATGTTTCTTACGTTACCCAAAGGCCACCCAAAGGCCACCGTTACTATCAGGAAAATTTATGATGATTTCTGAATGAAAGCCACCATGAGTCATTCTATGCTAACAGCAAACTAGAGATGGACCTGTTTTTTTTCAGAATAAAAGCCCCAGAAGGTGACTATCTTAATGGGGAACTCAGGATGAGGCTCTTTTTTCCAAATAAAAGCCTTTTGGAGTAACTGTATACTAACAGGAAGCTCAGGATAAACATGTTTATTCAAAATAAAAGCCGCCAACAGTCACTGTAAACCAGCAGGTAATTAGGAATGACCTTGTTTTTCAACATAAAAGTGCTAAGAGGGTTTAGTCCTCAGCTGATGTTTTATCCTAATTCCAACAAAGAAAATTGAAGGAAACCTCAACTCCTTCTTAGTACACTTAAGCCCAGTCCTTGCTCTTAAACTCTCATTAGAACTTCTTTCATTACTTACTCTACATTTTGCATCGTTAATCCCTTTCCCACATTTTCGACTATTGATACTGTTTCTGCTGCCTTTTCATTTTCAATTTAAATTTATTGTTTCATTCTCCATTCAAACGTTAAAATCTTCCACATATTTTACACATTAAGTCCATCTTAAAGCCACCTAATTGGGTGAAAAATCACCTAATCTGTAAACAGATAGCAGTCCAGGTATTTTCGGCTTGCAGTGTCAACTAATCAGAAGCCACCAGAAAAAGAAAAAAATCTGAACATATCAAACACAGTTGGGCAGAGAAAAGTACACCCTTCATTCAGCACACAGATGATGACTGTAGGCAGCACTTTTTAATTAGTCATCACATATATATGTAATAATGTATGATTTATGTGAGAGTGACAAATTTAGTTTTATAAACTTAGTTCAGGCACCATCACCCATTATCTCTCGCCGCCAGCAAACTCGGCTGAGATCAACCATCCACGACCCCCCAGGCTCCCGACATCTATCCTCGGACAGTTCCGAAGTTGTCGGTTTTTCGCCTTCCAACAACCCCAGGGGGAGATGCCGACTCCTTCGTCCGAGGGACATCGTCCCTCCACAACGGCGCTCTTCCAACCGTTCGAGATCCAGCCGCTCGAACAACGGAGCGACCCTCCTCCTCCACGCCAACGCTCCGATGGCCCCCGTACATCCCGCATTTCCGAGTGGACAGTCTCTCGACTGAAGCACGCACTCACCCAGCTCAATATCCATTTCCACCAGTCCGACAGAAAAGCAAAACTCTTCAAATTACTCAGCTATGGCACCAGTTCCTCTCCGCTTGGAATGGCATCTCCTTCTTCTACGACGAACACATCACCAAGCCGGAAGACATCCAGGTTTACACAGACGCAGCACCCTCCATCGGCTTCGGTGGCCTCTATGGTGACAAGTAGTTCTCAGCCGCATGGCCGCCTGAATTCTCATGCCTTACTCCTTCCTCCGCAATCTCTGAAATGTATCCAATAGTCGTAGCAGCCATTCTTTGGGGGCATGAATGGTCCAAAAAGACCATTGCTGTCTACTCAGACAACAGCGCTGTCGTAGACATCATCAATAAAGGACGGTCACATTGTCTAGAAATAATGATGTTCATGCGGAGACTAACCTTGGTTTCAGCCCAGCACCAGTTCATCATCCGAGCCTCCCACATCCCAGGTCACTACAACTCCATCGCTGATTCACATTCCCGTTTCTCATTCCAGAAATTCAGACGATTAGCGCCAACCTCAGACCCTCTGTGCCGACTCCGGTCCCACCGTTTTCAGCCACCATCTTCAACTGACCCCGCAACTGGAACACCTAATCTCCGTCTCTCAAGATGCTATCCTCAACAGCGTCGCCCCTCAACCACTCTCATCGCACTTCACCGGATGGAACCGCTTCAAAGCTTTCCACGCCTCTTTTAACCTTCCCTTCCCATAACTCGACATCCTTACCCTCACGAACTTCATTACATTTGCCCATTCCCTCCTTAAGATAAAGTCCTCCACTATACGGTATACATAAGCGGAATTAACTTTTTCACTAAACTGTCCTCAGGAACGCCGTGCCCAGCCTCTACCCACTCGCATATGGCGATGTTACTCAAAGGTCTCCGTAAAGCCGAACCACGGCCTATGCGTAAACGTCTGCCCCTCACCTCGGACCTTCTCACCCGCTGCATCCACACTCTTTGCTCAGGCTACCTTTCTCCCTTCATGGACAAAGTATTCGAGTCCATGTTCTTGCTGCTCTGAGTTCACCGCCTCAAACTCTGACCACAATCCGTCACGACATGCCACCATGTACGACATCTCAACTCATCCTCCTGACACCATCATCTATCACCTCAAATGTAGCAAGACCAACCAATACGGTCTACGTCTTTCGACTAGACACATACCTAAGTCCGTATGAACCCATCCGCGATTGCTTAATCTCAAGATCAGCCAGCAAAACTTCTCCTCAAGATCCCCTTTTCATCACCGAAACGGGCAAAGGGGCCACGCGGTCCCATTTCCACCACCACTTCCGCTATATATTAGCCAGATCCGGAATACCCCCCGAGTTTTACTCAGGTCATTCATTCCGCACTGGCGCCACCTCGAGTCAAGGAATTCCTGACCACATCATTAAGATTCTTGGTCGTTGGTCTTCCACCGCGTACCTCTCCTACATCCGCTTCAACCTGCACAACATCAGAAACGCTCACTGGCATCTGTCCTCATGAGGCTATCTTTTGGGGACTCTGCACCGCCAGAGCTTCCTAAGAGACGGCCCCCACCCAACAGTCTCCGTTCCCGCCAACCGCCGGACACCGACGGTCCCCCATTGCTCGCCTAACCTCCTTTCTATAACCCTCCTCGTATCTTCTACCTTACATCCCTTAATTTCCCATCCCTACCCTACATCCCTCTACCCCTACCCCTACCATACATCCCTCTACCTCTACCCCTACCCTACATCCCTTCATCCCTCTACCCCTATCCTACATCCCTTCATCCCTCTACCCCTATCCTACATCCCTTCATCCCTCTACCCCTTCCACTTCCTAAATCTAACAATCATTCCATTATGCAATAAACCTCTCGAAACTCACACTGTTATTGGCGTGGTCCTTGTTAGTGAACTGCAATGTATACACACACACACACACACACACACACACACACACACACAACACAACAATAAGAAAAAAACAATTTTCCATTACAATATATATGAAGGAGGAGCAGCACCCTTCATGGTCCACACACCAAAGCTGGTCTATCTAGTTTAGAACAGAAACATTAGAGTGCAAAGTCATCCCTACTAACCTGGGTGACTTTCTCAGTGACATGGTGTGTTCTGTCCATCAGTTTGCAGGGAGGTCTCATTTCACCTGGAGGTAACGCCATAAAGGCCTCTGTCTTTGTGTCCTGTAGGCTCTGGGTCATCTGCTGCATATGCAAAAATCACATATAGGGCCTTTCTCAATATGCGTACTTCTCTGTACTTGTGAACTCGTGGACTTTTGAAACGTCATCAGTCTCAGCCCAAGTACTGTTCCAATTCAAAGTCAAGCACGGTCAAGCACGGTCCAAATGCCCGGATGTGGCTCGCTCCGCCCATTTGACCGGGTATGCATCGGAGGTGACTTGTCTGTACTTGGGACAGCCAAATATCCCAGAATGCATTTTGCACCAGCAACAGGAAACAATGGCGGAGGAGAAATCACACAACTGGAAGTTGAAACTTTCTAAATACTACTGTTGTTAAGTCATAGAAAGTAATTTTAGGATGTTTTGAGGCGAGAAGTTAGTTGTTAAAGCATCAAATCTGTGGTAGGTTTGTAAAGATTCAGCCGATTTAAAAATATGCTCCGACGATTTCGGAGATGTGAGGTGTTGCTCGCGGGACCGGCAGTAAACCAGCACCGGGGGCTCAGCGCTCATGTTAGCCGCCTAGAACAGCCTGATCTCAGCAGTAAACCCCGCCAGCACCGGGGGCTCAGCGCTCACGGTGCCCGCCTAGAACAGCCTGATCTCGGCGAGTCTTTTTGAAACTTGCCGCTGGTATTGACGTCTCTGTAGCGTTTTCCTCGTCGGCAAAGAGTACAGCAATCCGGATCTGATCCACATGCATACTGTATATATACATACAATTATATATATATATATATAAATATAATTGTATGTATATATATATGTATATACTGTATGTGTATATAATATAATACACTTATATAATAATATATCATTTTTTATTTTAAATGAAAATGAAAACAGCAGGGTTGTCATATTTAGTTTGATTGTAAAAATTACAGTAAAAAAACAGATTAAACTCATTAGCAAGACCAGCTGAGGTGGTGATGTCATCAAGTAAGCTGTTGTTCCAATTGTCCCTACTGCGTTCTCTGGACTTGTGAACTTTTGGAGTATTTTGGAGTATGGACTTGGAGTCTGAACTCCAAGTCCATACTCCAAAAGTTCACAAGTCCGTACTTGTGAACTTGGGTATTGAGAAAGGCCCAACGTCACACAATGAAACATTGAAAGCAACAAAAGATTAGCTTAATAACATTTACATTTTACACTGTATTTTAGGCATTTGGGTGACGATCCAACTCAGAGCAATTTACGAGTGCCTATATAGTATCTCTAACATTTCCAAACTTTTAGTATCACTGAATTTTTTATTTTTCCTTCCATATGTTGGAACATCTTGTAAACTGCAGGGTATCTGCGTCTTTCTGCACACATTACCTGGCTGTTGGTCCGGCAGCGTGAATCGGTGTCTGATGTCCCAACTGGCACGCTGCTCTTTTTAATGGTTACCATACCAGCTGAAGGAGAGGAGGAGAGAGAATGTTTGTTGCAGAGTCACCATATATAAAAGCCAAATAAAATGGAAAGTCAAATTACAAATAAAAATTAAATTAATTTGTATTTCTCACATACACACAAACTGCAACTGACAATAGAGGAAACTGAAGTGGATGTGACTTCCCTGTGCAGTCTATAGTGTTATTTGTTACCCATTACCCATAAAGGTATGTCTAACTCCACATTATACCAATATAAACTACAGGTCAGTAGCACAAGCAGCCAGGTGTACATTAATACTGAATGTTTGAGCTATATACTTGTGCTGCTTGGATTAAGACCTATATGCATATGTATGTCTATTGTCAGCTCTTAGTTAAAAGGTTAGTTGATAAACTAATCAATCTATTAAGTAACGGACTGTATAGCGGTTTTCTAGTCTTTCCGACCACTCAAAGCGCTTTCACACTAATTGTCATTATTCACCCATTCACACAATAGGTGCCACCTGCCTATCAGACTATCTATGGTTAAGTGTCTTGCTCAAGGAGGCCACATGCGACTAGCAGAGCCGGGGATCGAACCTCCAATCATCTGATTGAAGGACAACCCTGCTCTTCACTTAGCCACAGTCACCCTTAGTGTCTTCTTCTAGAACATTTTACATCGGTCACCTGTGAATGATTAGTCCTTCATTTTTAAGAATAGGCTACTATGATGAAGGACGACCTCAGACGGGTTTCGGAGAAGCAGCCGAGCAGGAACCGCACTACGCCCCTTGCGGAAGAGGACGGCAGTCACCTGCTCGCGGACTAATATTAACGGCATTGAGTTCGTGAAAAGGCTTGAACGAGAGTGGCGGCGCGAAATGACGGCCGTGTCTGTAAATAGATTAGAGTTTATGTTGCTGTTCGGAGTTTGACTTTCAAGACTGTGTGCGTGCAAACAACCAGTAAGTAGACGGAAAGTTTGGTGTTAGTCTAATTTAGTCATAAGTGTTATATTGTGTCATTTGCATGGCAATCTATTCTGATATTTAGTAGCTTGTTCGTTGTTTGCTAAGTGGTGACTGTAGGAGTCCCGGACCTGTTTATCACTGCCTGTATTCTGTTCCTGTGTGTCCTAATTAGAAACCAATGTTGTATAGAGGTTTTTACTAATTATTATTTCATGTATGTCTGTTTCAGAACCACACATAATTGCTTGTTTGACTATTGTCAATAAACCTCTCAAAGAAACATCTTGTCTGGAGTGCATTCTGATCGATGCCCCCTGGTGGCCACAACTTTTAATGAACCAGTAGAAATATACAGTCCTTTCCCAGTCAATATAACAAATGGTCCTTCGAGCCGGATGAGAGTGGTCACCGTGGAATTGATTAAAGATGTTTCCATATCAGCAGAGGACTTCACGTCCTGCAGACGCCCGTCCCCGCCGAGAGACACGGCCACCAGCCTGGATGGAAGATTACGCTGTCTCCATGCCAGCACAGCAGCAGTCTTACTACAGCGCGGAGAATTTCCCGGAGAGAAACGTCAGCCCGGCTAGATGAGGACTGGAGTGCTGCGCAGGGAGCGGCAGCTCAATATCCCTTCCAGCCTGAGTATGCAGACACCTTTTTCCAGAGTACGCCTGCCTCTCATCGACGGAGGCCTGCAGCAGAATCCTTGAAGCCCTCCACAGGCTGATGGAAGACAATCACAGGTTGCAGCAACAGATGTTGGACATACACAGGCGACTCCCTGACCCACCACTGCTGCTACAGAGAGCCCCCTCTGTTTCACAGACGTCTGAGCCCCCTCAGCAGCAGCACGTCGTGCAGGCTGACGACATGTACCACCCTCTCTTATTCCCCTCACCTGTGCAAGCTAGCAGTCACACTCTGCCTCCAGTGGATAATGATGACTGGCCACCGCCACCACCCCCTGTAACAGAAGATGTTGTTTACCAGCCACAACCACCACCACAGGACCTTGTGGCAGAGCTGACAATGCCGCTGAGAGACATGTGGACGAGACGTCAGGAGCAGTCTCTCTGTGGCCCAGAGCCAGTTTATCCTGTTTCCCGGATGCATACACCAGAGTATTGTGAACCTTATACCCCACCAAGGAGGGAGTCACTGCCCAGCAAGCCGTTACCCTCCCACTACAAGGAGACTGTGTACCGCGGTCCTACGCCCAAAATCCCTGCATTCACTAAAGGAGATCCTAGGGAGTTTGCTCGGCTTAAGGTTGCCCTAGAGAACCTGCTGCCTCAGGATGCTACAGAGCTCTTTAAATATCAGATCCTGGTGGACCACCTGAAGTATGAGGAGGCGCTGCTCATAGCGGACTCCTACACCAACTCGTTGCAGCCCTACACTGACACAATGGCTAGCCTCATTGAACAATATGGCGCACCAGTTAGCCCTCAGAAAAATCGCTGACCTGATGGATGCCTGGAACATCGCACGTGGAGCCATCTGTGGGTTCAAGCAGTTTGCACTGCGATTGAGAGCACTGGTTGGTATGTTAGATCAGCTTGGGGACAGTGGACATACTGAGCTCCACTGTGGGTCACATGTGACATGGCTGTTGTCCAAGCTACCTCAGGATATGCGGGCTGAGTTCAAGAGGTTCCTGTACCCCATGCGTGTTACCATCCCCAACCTCTTGCACTTTTCAGACTAGCTCGACTATGAGCTGAAGATTCAAGAGACAGTGTACGATTCACTGTACAGAGAGGATAAGAGCAAATCAGGACCACGGCCAGAGAATTACCTCGACAGGAGCAAGAGTGGCAGGAGCAGCAGCATCCTGCACACTACAGACCAGCCTGAGAGCTCACCAGCAGCAGTGAAGCCACCCCTAAGTGCCAAGCAGCCAGATAGGACGGCATACTGCCACTACTGCTTAAACACGCAGCACTTTCTCGACCAGTGTGTAAGCTTTGCACAGCTGAACAAAAAATAGCCTGGATCAAGATCAACAAAAGATGCTGGAGATGCGGCCGCTCGCACCAGGCTGCACAGTGCCGCCTGAAATTTACGTGTCAGAAGTGTAAGGGGAAGCATCTGCACGATGTGAATATAAAACCTGCAGCTGAGAATACGTCCTGCCTTGTCAGCACAACCAATGACGTACTGTACTTGGACAGACGGTCCGGGTGCAGCCAAGTCCTACTCAAAGTGAGTAAGGTGTTGCTGCGCAATGGTGAGCACACCTTAGAGACACATGCCATCCTAGATGATGGGTCGGAGCGGACCATCCTCCTTCCAGCAGCAACGCAGAGACTTAAGCTATCTGGTGAGCCAGAGGATTTGGTTCTCAGAACTGTTCTGCAGGATGTCAGGCTTCTGCATGGCGCTGCTGTGTCTTTCTCCATCTCCCCAGCCGACCAGCCACAGAAGTCCTTCAAGATACACAGAGCATTTACTGCTGATCAACTGGGTCTGGCTGAGCACACATACCCGATAAATGCGCTTTTGAAGAAGCACAAACACCTAAGAGGCCTTCCTCTCCAAGCACTAGATAGAGTGCAACCTCTGTTGTTAATTGGGTCAGACTACCCCCACCTCATCACTCCAGTAGAGCCGGTGTGTCTAGGACCTCCAGGTGGGCCAGCGGCAGTGAAGACAAGATTGGGCTGGACGCTTCAGGGACCAACCAAGCACATCAAGCAGCAGTCGACAGCACAACAATGTCTAAACATATCCACCCTCTCACCTGAGTCTGAGCTTCTGCAGAGTGTAGAGAGATTGTGGCAGCTATATGTCCTTCCCTACAGGAGTGAGAAGCTTTCCACACGATCCAGGCAGGATCAGGAAGCAGTCCAACTGTTGGAGGCAAAGACCATACGAGTGGACGTCGATGGGATCCAGCGCTACGCCACTCCCCTCCTCAGGGTGAAGAACATGCCACAGCTCCAGGCATGTAAGGGGGCTGTGTTAGCCAACCTCCGCAGCACGGAGAGACGCCTGCTACGAGACCCGCAAAGAGCAGCTGCTTACTGCGCAGAGATCAGAAAGCTCGAAAAAGCGGGCTATGCAGTGAAAGTGCCAGAGGAGGAGCTTAGCGATGCAGTAGAGTCCTGGTTCATACCACATCACATGGTAAGCCACAATGAAAAAAACAGGATTGTTTTCAATTGCTCTTTTGCGTATAAGGGAGACAACCTCAATGAGCTGCTGCTGCCTGGTCCCACTTTAAGTTCCAGTCTACTAGGGGTACTGCTGCGATTCAGAGAGCACACCATTGCCGTCAGCAGTGATATCAAGGGCATGTTTCACCAGGTGAGGCTGCTCCCTGAAGACAAGCATTTGCTATGCTTCTTGTGGCGCGACCTGAAGACAGAGGAACCACCAAGCATCTACACATGGCAAGTCCTTCCGTTTGGCACCACCTTCAGTCCCTTCTGTGCAACTTTCGCACTGCAGAAACATGTATTTGACCACAGTCAGCCAGGGGAGGATGTCCGTATCTCCATAGAAAGGTCCTTCTATGTGGACAACCTCCTGCAGAGTCTCTCCTCTGTTGAAGAGGCCCGACGCCTAGTTGACAAACTGACATCATTGCTGGCTACAGGTGGATTTGAACTACGCCAGTGGGCCAGTAACACCCCTGAGGTCATTAGCCACCTGCCCAAAGAAGCCAGATCCGAAAACAGTGAGTTGTGGCTCAACGAGTCAGGCACGGACCCACAAGAGCTCGCACTGGGACTCCGCTGGCTCTGCAATTCAGACACCTTGAGATATAAATATCGGATGCTGGATAGACCCAAACCCACCATGAGAAATATGTACCGGGTCCTGGCACGCCTGTACGACCCACTGGGCTTTATTGTCCCCTTCACGACGCAGGCTAAGATCCTTGTGCAGCAACTATGGGGAAAGCAAAGAGATTGGGACGACCCGTCACTGCCTGATGATGTGCTGAAGCCATGGCTGACATGGGAGGAGGAGTTGCAGCATCTGTCTCAGATTTCACTGCCTCGCTGCTATCTGGGCCCTGAGATGGACACTTCAAACCTCCAGCGAGACCTGCACATCTTTGCTGACGCTTCAGAGAGAGCTTACAGCTCAGTGGCCTACATGCGTGCAGAGAACTCACATGGCCGTGTGGAAGTGTCTTTCCTAACTGCCAGATCCAGGGTATCCCCAAAGAAACAGCAATCAGTGCCGAGACTAGAGCTCTGTGCTGCACTGACAGGTGCCCAATTGGCCACATTACTGCAAAGAGAGCTGACTGTGTATATCCGCGACGTCGTCTTCTGGACAGATTCCACAACAGTCCTCACTTGGCTCCAGTCAGACTCCTGCAGATACAAAGTGTTCGTAGGAACAAGAGTGGCTGAGATCCAGTAGCTGACTGGATCCGTGCCTGGAGGTACGTGGACTCTGTCAACAACCCAGCTGATGACCTCACGCGAGGGAAGACACGAGGGAAGACACTGTTGGAACTGGCCGGTAAAAGTAGGTGGAGCCAGGGCCCTGACTTCTTGCAGCAGCCACCTGAATTCTGGCCCACACAGCCAGCCTCAGGAGAGACAGTGAATTCTGTTGAACTGCGAAAACCTACCATCAGCTGCTTCACCATGACTGCTCATAATCCTCTGCTACCAGACGCCAACCAGTTCACCTCCTTCAGAGCACTGACAGAGGCGTTTGCACAGTCCCGCCATGGGGCGGCAGTAGACCAAGACAGTCTTCCTGCAGAAGATTACCAGAAAGCAGAAAGAGACGTTTTGAGACAAGCCCAGCAGGACAGTTTCCCTGAGGAGTTCAACCTCTTGTGTGCCGGTAAGCCAGTATCTGCCACCAGTAGGCTGCTCTCCCTAGCCCCGGAGTATGATGAAACTGTGGGTCTCATCCGCGTTGGAGGAAGGCTCCGCCGCAGCGACCAGTTAGAGCCAGATGCCATCCACCCAGTGGTACTGGACTCTCGGCATAAAGTGACCCAGCTCATCATTCAGGACTTAGACAAGGGCCTCCATCATCCAGGATCAGAGCGCCTCTTTGCAGAGCTTCGCCGCAAATATTGGATTCTGCATGGCCGTGAAGCTGTGAAACGCCATCAGTACTCCTGACCGGACTGGACTGGACCGGAGAGGTGGAGAGCGACTCCAGTGGTGCCCAAGATGGCAGACCTCCCTCAGTCCAGACTGAGGCTGCTGAAGCCTCCATTTTACTCCACAGGCACAGACTGTTTTGGGCCCTTCACAGTGAAGGTTGGCCGTCACCACGAGAAGAGATGGGGCATACTGTTTAAGTGCCTGACAACACGGGCCGTGCACCTAGATGTTTTATCTAGCATGGACACTGACTCCTTTTTGATGGCTCTCCGCCGCTTTATTGCACGAAGAGGCAAACCAGCAGAGCTTCGCTCTGACCAGGGCACTAAGAGAACTAGAGAACTAGAGAACTAGATGAGGCATTCAAAACCATGCACCCCACACTCCTGGCTAAACACCAGATCAAGTTTCAGTTCAACCCCCCAGGTGCACCACACTTTGGAGGTGTCTGGGAGAGAGAAGTGAGATCAGTGAAAGATGCGCTCTACGCCACCATTCAGACCCAAACTGTCCCAGAAGAGGTCCTACGGACAGTACTGATTGAAGTAGAAGGGATTTGGCGGATGTTGACCCAGTCACCCCTGGTGGCCACAACTTTTAATGAACCAGTAGAAATATACAGTCCTTTCCCAGTCAATATAACAGCCACTTTGTGTATCTTTGGTGTCTTGAGGGTTGGGCACATTGTGTGCATCACACATAAATAAAGAAAAAAAAACATCAATCATCTGTACTGCAATTTCAGACTGAGTTATGAACACAGTGTGCTGCACACAGGAGAGAGGTTGAACTGGGTTAAGTGCAGTGCCGTTCTCACCAGTACAGCTGTGTCTCAGCTGCAGCCTCTTTTCCCAGTAACTCTGCCCGCTCTTGATAGCATCCACTGAGGAGGAGTGTCTTAATGTCCCACGCCTGCCGTCTAACCTGCTGGAAGGATGTTTGCTGTGGAAAGGACGGTCATCTTCATCTGGGCCTCTTCCTCTCTCCTCTCTCCTAGACAGAATGTACATTTATAAGCTGTCCGTTGAACGAGCAGTGTTTTTTGTAGTTATCAAACAGCATAGTGCCACTGATCTGACTGTTAATACCTCTACAATGTTTTTCTCAGGCATATAATCAACCGGAGATCTTGTGCACCCCTCTAGCATCAATAGCAAGGATCGGTGGCAAGAGAATGGGGTTGGTGCTATCCATATCAAGGTTGAAACACAAACACACTGTCGTAGTCTGAGATCATACCTGATCTGGGCATTTAGCCCAAGTGGGTATTGCTCTCAGCTCTGGCCGACTTATTGTGTAAAGCAGATGCTTGCTTTTGCTTCCCCTGTTAAAGATCTGGAGCCACCAATCTTAAAAATGTGTTTATAAAAAGAGGTTTTATTCATAAGAAAGGTGGATGCATAACCACTGTCATGCATGCATCCACTTCATGGGTAGAGACGATGAAGAGAGAAGCAATTAGTGAATGTGAGAAAAAAGATGGACACGGCGACAACTTTTTCCTCTGAAAAATATAAGACTGTTAGTGGGATTTGGTAAAAAATCTGAATCGGAAAAGGTGATCGGGTGACAGTAACTAATGTTGGGGGATAAAGCATAAAATGAGAAGAAAAAGTTCAGAGTAAAGTAAGAATGCAGTTCATATTACGTTTTTTTTGTATTTTGGCTAGATTGCCTTGCTTCTTGTGCCTCAACTTCTGACTATTCATAAAACCATGTTTGTTACGTGTTGTGTTTTCTCCCCTCCTGCCATTCCTTTTTTCCTCTCTCCCTCAGTCTCCTATCCTGGCAATCAGTTGATTGGGTTCCACCTGTGGGGGCCAGTCGTCGTGATCGGTGGGTGGCACCAGCGGCAGGCTGGCCAATTGGCGGACGGAGAGCCACGGATAAGATCAGGGACTCAGGAGTTCAGGGGCTGGTCTTCTATGGTTTCCTGTCAATGCTGAGAGCTAAACTTGTTAGTGTTTCTGGTGAGAGGTTGCGGACAGTAGGTGAGTCTGGTGTACCCTGCACATTGGCACCCACGTAGTAGATTTGCTAGTGATGTCGAGATGAAGCTTCATGAAGCATTGAAGCTTTCCATCCAATTGGTTCACACATGGGTTGAAGCTTCATGGTGCTTCATTTGCTCTACTGTGCTATCAAGTGGACAATAAATGTAAAACAGGCAGAGTGATTAAAATGACACCATGGCTTTGGTGTGTGAAGCATTGAATTGAATAAATGAATGAATGATGTTTGTGATGTGTGATACATAACTTATGAACTTATTAATATGGTGTCTGTCTTTATGATACAATGGTGGGGTCAAAAGGGAAAGTGGAAACAAATTGGGGAGAGGGTTGTGATGTGAAAAGTAAAAAAAAAAAAGTTAACTTTAGGATTTTATTGTCATACACATATACAAAATTTGACTACTGCATTTAACCCATCCTTAGTTTATTGGGAGCAGTGGGCTGCTGAGAATCGCCCGGGGAGCAGTTAGCAGTTCAGTGTCTTGCTCAGGGACACATCGGCATAGCAGCCAAACCGCCAACCTTGCGGTTACCGGACAACCCTTTCTACCATTGACCACAGCCAAATGTGCTTGTGTTTCTTGGTTTGTGACTATCCTTATGTTACTAGGGACAACATGTAACACGTAAAACATTTGATTCCTTTTTATTTAAAAATAACAACTTTTCCACTGTGCTGGGCTTCAGGCGGTTCCTTTTTTTTTTTGATCATTTCGCCTGCTTTAGAAAACACCCTTGCACAGATGAAGCTGGGGTACAGAGAATAGTTTGCAAACAAAAGCGCAATAAAGTCAGAAGTACACAAAATGTGAGGGGGAATCCATTGCGTTTCGCTGCCCCTTATATTTTGAATCGCACGCCAGACCCGTGAACTATTTCCTGAATCAGTCACGTGGTATGGCCGGCTCGCGAGGCTTCAAACGTCACCACATACGTCATCAACACAAGCCTCGATACGCGCCTCATAAAAATCTTCCTGGATTACTCGACACAAGCTTCGAAGCCTTGATACGAAAGGTCACATCACGAAGATTTGCTGTGTCTAGATACACTAGGCTTATTGGTTGGTGCCTCATCTGTATTTGGGTTTTGGTCGAGCACATTTAGATAGGCTAGAGAAGCCATTTTGTGTTTGATTTCAGAGGTTAGGTAGTTAGGCCAAGTTTTGTTATATTGGTTTCAATTGTTTGGCACTACCACACCTGTCCCATCCTCTCCCAATCTTGTGTTGTGACTGTTAATTTCTGCAAATCTGACCCAGTTTCTGTGTGGACCTGGTCCATGACAACCCAGAGTTCAGACCAGGAAGCAGTGTCAGTCTTACACACTCCTCTGAGCTTCCATTAGAGCAGTTACTCACCCAAAACCACATAGAGACTGTGTCTGCCCCACGGCCACTTCAATTAATTAAATCAAAAATAAACTATCGAGGAGTTAAACAAAATAACCTAATCCAAGTTAAAACTACCGCAACAGTGCAACAAAATAGGATAATTAAATGTGGACTCTTAAATATCAGAGCTTTGTCATCTAAAGCTGTATTAGTAAATGAGCTAATATCAGATAATCATATTGATTTATTTTGTCTAACTGAAACCTGGCTATGTAATGAAGAATATGTCAGCCTAAATGAACAACTCCTCCAAGTCATATCAATACTCGCATTCCTCGAGGCACCGGCCGAGGAGGTGGAGTAGCAGCCCCAGAACACCTTAGGCCAGAGATCAATGATTGACTTTGTAATCGTATCATCTGATCTGCGGCCATATGTCTTGGACACTCGGGTGAAGAGAGGAGCAGAGCTGTCAACTTATCACCACCTGGTGGTGAGTTGCTGAACTGAAAAAGCTGCGCCGGTTAAAATGGAAGCGCTCCGTCAAAATGTAATAATTCTCAATTATCTATCGGTTTTAGGTCCTGGGTCCGGATACAACGGCGTCTGGGTACGGATCCGCACTGCGGTCCGCCAATTAGGTGACCCCTGCACCACATTATATTGTGATATAAACCACTTATTTTATGTTTATATAATGATTATGAAGCTTAAATGGGAGTTGAGGTAAAGGGTTACCAGTCACATGTATCATCAAAAGTAGATACAATCACAATAACCAAATAAAATAGAAAATTAAAAGATTGAAATACCTTTGTGGAGCATGTGAGGAGACAAGTGGCAGGGCCATTGTTGGAGGTGCTGAGGCCGGAGCTGGAGACAGACCTGTGTGGAGCTCCCTGCCTATTTTCCCTCCTCCTCCCCCTGCACTTAAATCCACGAGCAGCCCACAAACATCACCTCCATCCCTTTTCTTTCTGTCGCCCTCGCTCCTTCGCCTGGTTCCCACCAAGCTGCCTCTCTCTCCTCCTCTTCGCCCTCCTCTCATTTGTTCTTCTTCTTCCGCCTCCCTTTCTTGGTCCCACAACAGTAGTCCAGCTCCTGCCTTCTGCAGCTGCTGTCTCTCAGGCAGGGACAGCAGCTTGTCCAGGGCCACAGACTCGTGTCCAAGGGGAGGGAGGTTGGCATGAGGAGCCCCCAGCTCTGTGTCCTGTGACAGGACACCCGTACTGGAGCTGAGGGATCGCAGGAGGAGGCGCAGATGCTGCTGCCGAGCTGGATGGAGAAATTTTGTTTCGAAATATGCACCACTGAAGCACAACCTCACAGTCAAACACAGGACTTTCACCCAGGAGACCACTGTTTGTGTACCATGTGAAACCAAAAGTAAACGCTGACTTTACGCTTGTTATGCAAAGTTGTTAGTCTTGTTGCACAACTTTTTATAAGAAGTCAGCTAAAGGTGGTTATTTATTCACCCCAGTTATTTTTTTTTATACAAACTGATCTTTTTTCTAACCTTGTTGCCTTAGCCCATGGGTCGGCAACCTTTACTATCCAAAGAGCCATTTTGAATAGAAACCCTTTTTATTGTCATATACATACACAAAATTTGAATTCTGCATTTGACCCATCCCTGTATATAGGGAGCAGTGGGCTGCCAATGACAGGCGCCCGGGGAGCCTGGGGTTCAGTGTCTTGCTCAGGCACACTACGACACGTGACACGTCCCAGTCAAGGATCGAACCGTTGACCCTGCGGTTACCAGACGTAATAGGATGAGACGCACATCTACGCCGGAGTTTTCAAAGCACCGAAAACGGAGGAGTTGCAGGTATTACTGACCTTGTTGTCTTTACTAGCAGCTGTTGTTCAGTTAAAGTCTGCATTATTACGGAGGAAGCAGCTGTTAATGGAGCGATTAGCGAGCAGCGTGTCCAGCGGCGTTATCAGACCTACGGAGCGGCCATCTGAAGTCACGTTAGCGGCTTTGAGCAACCAATCTACTTCCTGTTTACACCGGCATCGACCCGCATGCCTAGTGTACGTGAAGTCACGTGATATTCGATTTCAGGCGTTTTAGTCTGGACCGAGATCATTTAGAAAACGGTGCTGACACGGCATGTGGACGGAGATCGTTTTCGTGTTAAAACTCAGTTTTAACACAAAAACGTATTAGTGTGGATGTAGACTCAGGGAGCCGCAACAGAGGGGCTGAAGAGCCGCATGCGGCTCCGGAGCCGCAGGTTGCCGACCCCTGACCTAACCTAACCAATCACTTCACAATGTTAACCATGTGTGGTTTTTGGTTCAGAAACGTCAATAGTCAAAATATATCTAATTTATGTTTCCATTAGCACAGAGCAGCAGCGAGAGAGCACAGAGCAGCACATCACCAGCCTGTAGTGTGGTGTGAACTGCAGCGGTGTGAACTGCAGCTGAGACAGCGTGGAGGCCATCGGATCACACACACCTTTACGCCTTTCACTCGCCTTCCGACTTCTGCTACATACATTTGTTTGTTTGTTTTTGTGAGAACTTCTGAGCAGAGCCATCACCTTTTCCCTCTCATTTCAGATAAACCGGAAGCAGGAACTTCCAACATGGCCATTCAGCCAGGTCTATGTGGAGATTGCAAACTCACATACTCACAGTTAAGGGACGATTTTCACCGCCTAGAGTCTGAAGTCCGGAAAAGGGAACAGCTGATCGACGGATTCGTATCCGTAGCGGCGGCCCAGGCAAAGCATATCTCATCTATGCAATCTCAGCTGGTCTCGGACACTGCGGACACTGTTCCCTGGCTACCCGGCCCTGCGGACGGGGAGGAGAGTCGGTCCTCCGACCACGAGCTGAGAGGACCTGCTATAGACCCGACCCATAGCCTCCTGAGAAAACCAGCTGGGGAGCTTTCATTAAACACCTCCAACCGCTTCGCAGTCCTGACGGAGAATACTCCC